CCAGAGCTCTTCCCTGTGCTTCCTGATGGGATGAGAGGAGATGCCAGGGCCTTGGTTAGTGACGGGAGCAGGCTGAATGTAGGGGAGAATCCAAGGGGAGATAGCACCGAAGTCTGGGGTCGCCTGAGACCAGTCTTGTGTACATACACACACACACACACACACACACACACACACACAAACACACATCTCCACTCTCAAGTACAAACAGATGAAAATAAGTGACTTCCTCTGTTTGGTTTGTTTTCCACTAAGCTTAGATTTTTAACAGACATAGGAGTCTATGAGGAGACCAATTGCCCCACAATTTGATGTCCAAGCAGAGGCTGGTTTGTGACACACCACCAAGGGCCACCTAATCACTTCCGGACTCATTATCTGCTCCTCAGTGCCAACTGCCATGTGTGATCCCCAGGAAGCTGCAGTGTTGTCTCTTGAGCTAGATGCTCCACGAGGCAAAAACAGAAAGAAGCCCGTCTCCCCTCTCTTTGGCTGAGCCACTGATTCCTCCAGGACAAGCAGCAGGCAGAATCCCTGGGCTCAGCTGACTCTGATCAAAAGCTTCTGCCTTTAACTGACACACAAAAAACAAAAACCCCACCAGTTGCCTTAAGAAGCAGAACTGGGAACAATTTTCACCATTTACCCTTTTTGACCTTTTGAATTCTGAACCATGGACTAACTGAACTAGTGGACTAAACTGGGAAATGTTAACAATTCTCCCAGACCTTGAAACCCAGAAGATTCTCTGTGGAGTCACCAAGGTCTAGAGGGAGGTGGCAGCTGCTGAGATGAGAGGCTGTGTGTTTCTTCTACTCTTTGGTCTTTATGATGGAGCATTAGCCTCAGGGACTATCTTGTTAATAGAAGAGAAGAAAAAAAAGTCTGGGTAGTTAAGGTATTGTTCTATTGACCAAAGTTTTTGCTCTGTTACAAAGCAACAACCAATCATTGGTTTTAAACATGGCACCATAACACTCTCTTCCATGGTAAAATAAGTAAATACATAAATAAATAAGATTTTAAAAGGGACAAAGCAGGAAGCAGCTTCCCTTGGGCTGGGGATGGGAACATGAGTCACTTTGTTTCTTCTTGTTGAAAACAGACAACATTTTTTACTTGTAGGCACCAGGAAAATGTTTTGGGGATCAAAGTTAAGTTTTGGCTATTTCAGATTACCTTAGTCTCTTTTGTGCTGTTATAACAAAATTCTCGAGGCTTGGAACTGTATTAAAAGGTTTCTTTAGCTCACAACTCTGGAGGTCAAAGAACACAGCACCAGCTTCTGCTTGGCTACAGGAACCATGAAATGTTAACAGTTTCAAAGGGATGCCGTCCTATGAAGCCAAGAGCTTCATAATTAAAGATAGTTCTGGCAAGGCTGGGTTGCCTAAAAGACCCTGCACAGTCAGTACCTCTCATTTTGTCTTTTTCAGCCTGTGGTTTGAATTTGTTGACCCTGGATTGGGTCTTCACAATAGGAGTCAAAAAGGTTCAAGACCAACAGACTCACCTTTACCACCTAAAAAATCCCAGTTCTCTCCTGAGATCATAAGCAAATGTCAGCCTTCTGTATGTGAAGCAAACTGCTAAGGCAGAAAGCAAAAGAGCAGCAGGAGCCTGGGTTTCTCAGGGCTCTGCCAGGCAGGATGTGACATGTCAGGCCATTAGTCTTCTATTTTTACTCTAGTGGTTACAAGATGATGGTTGATGTGGAAAGGCAACACAATCCTGACTTTGGAGAATTCTTCTTGGTTTTTTTTGTTTTTGTTTTTGTTTTTTTTTTTCCCCAGGTTTCCATATTGACACCTACTCACCAGGTTTGAGGACCTGAGAAATCTGCATGAGTTTCTAAAGTGAGCAATTATTTCCCCTGGCTGCCATTCCTGGGCTGTTCACAGATGCAGAAAGTGCTGAGTCAGCAGTACCCAGCAGCATATGCCAGGGGCAGAGAGCAGTTTCTTATTTCATTTGGCCACAGCACCAACCTACAGTCACACTGAGATGGAAAGCTTGGAGCTTCCGCAGGAGTTGACAGTCATGAAATCAGAAAGACAAAATGAGCCACTTGGTATGGGACAGAGACCTCTATAACCTATTGATAAACCATGGGTAGAGGGACTTAGATGTCTGTATTTTTAGTGTACTAGTAAGTCCACCTAGTATGTACATGGATCTTTACGTCTGCCTGCATGAAAACTCTGATTCTAAACTCCATGCCCTTTATAATTTATTCAAACATTCAAACCCCAGAAATCTAGTCAGGCAGCTAAGAGCCAAGGGGTGCAACTGTTGCCCTTATTAGAGAAAAAATAACTCGAATGTCCTCTGATAAACATTTAAAAACACACACATGCTTTTACAGATGAGAGAAGAAATTCTAACACTGTAACTCACCATAAACACTGAGTGAACAGTACAGTAAGCTCTATAACTACAGGGTAAAACTTGCAGAAGACACTAATGCAGAACCCTATCTTTAGCAGGGAAGCTGCTCCAGGAAGTCTCCACACTTGCCGTGGCCCGGCTGTCATAGTTTAGATATGGCGTCGTGCTAAAGGTTCCCTCCAGTGCTGTTTGGTCCACAAGGCGCAGTTGAGAAAGTGGGACCCTGAAGGGATGGAGCCTAGCAGGAGGTAACTAGGCAACGGCAGCTCTCCATCCTATCAATGCATCAGTGAGTCTTAGTCTTTATGAGAGTGGGCTGTTAAGGGGCAAGGTGACTCTACACATTTGCCCTGTTCTGTATGAAACTGTTTCATTTCCGCTTCTCCCCGTTGTGATGTGGCCACTGGGGCTCTTGCCAGGATGCCAGCACAATGCTCTTTTGACCATCCTACCTCCAGAACCACAAGCCAATAAGACCTCTTATAAAGCCTCTGGCCTCGAGTGTTTTGTTACAGCAGCACTAAACAGACAAAGGTACCAGCTGCAATTTCAAGCAGACCCTTAAGAACTTTGAGAGGGCTGGGGATCAGATTGCAAAATCCAGACACTGGTCCTCAGACACAGCCCTAGGTTCTTGGTCTTCCTCCTGGAATTCTTGGGAGAACTTTTGGCTGGATAGTTCTCCCCCTGCTAAGGAGCAAACGTAACTTTGTTCATAATGTGGAGCACCAGAAGTGCTTTCTTTCTACTTGGCTAAACTCAAGGTCCAAGTCCCATCAGTGAGCCTGAGCCTTCACTAACATTGTGAAATCCCACAAGCCAGGGTGGTGGTGCATGACTGCAATCCCAGCACTCAGGAGACTAAGGCAGGAGTATTATTGTAAATTCAAGGTCAACCTACGCTACAAAGTGAGCTCAAGGCTACCCTGAACTACAGGGTGAAAACTTTGTCTTAAAAAAAAAAAAAATCCACAGACCTACCTGGTCCTACTCAAAATTGTAGTTGGTTATTTTTACACATCATTTGTCCAGTACATGCCTTACCCGTGGTTGACATCACTTCATTCTCCAAATGAAAGTAAGCATAAACATCTCTTTTCGAGCTGGACTCAGGTGTGCCTGGCAGAGCGCTCACAGCATGGCTTGGACAGGAACTGGCTTGGGCCACACCTGTGCTATTCTTGTTGCTGAGCAGCCACACCCCAGAGTGAGGAGGGTCAAGATTGACCTTTAGTGTGGCATTTGTTTTTCTAATTTTATATTTTTGATTATAGCTTTATTTTTAAATATTCTACTTCAAAACCAAAAGGTCCCCTGCACTCTCTAGTACGGTCCCTTTGAATACAGGGAGTTTATCATGCACACACTGTACCTCACAGTGAACAAAAGACAAGCAGGCTTCAATGTTATGACTCAGGAGAAACTGGAAAATTGTTCCATTTCTCCTTTGCCACCCTGCTCAATTTTCCCTATAAACAGTTCCAGCTCAAAAAACAGGAACTTCCTCTTTTCAGACAGACGGCGAGTGTGGGAAGAGATTCGGTCTCCAACTGGAAGCCAGGGGCTGTGTTCTCCCTCTCTGATTCCTGAGTGGGGGGTGACGGCCGGCTAAAAGGCTCACACAAATCCAGGTTTCTAGCTAAAAGCAATCAGGGAAGACACAAAAAGATATGGAAGGCCTTCCACAAGTTTGTCACATATGCCATCAAAATCTTTGATAGCCTGGAGAACTTTCCAGTATGCGTCCTAACACAAGTGCTGGCAAACCTCCCTGGCCCAACGACTGTGCCCCGGATGAGCAAAGGTGGGTAAGAAATGTGGAGCCTCAAGCTATCCCAATAGAGCAGGAGCATCTCATGGAGTTCAGGGCTGGTAACACAGGCCTCACTTGCGTGCAGTTAGAAGCCGAGAGCTGGTGGGGGGCCCTGGATGCACAGGTGGGATCAAGGACACGGTTCACATGGAGTGACAATTTGTCATTTCCTTATCAAACCTTTAGAAAACACGCCCATGGCAAGAGAGATGACTTCCATGGCAACAGACTGACCTGTCAGCAAGTAACCTGCCATGTCCTCACAAGAGGGCGCTGCTTTTCCCTGGCACTAAGGGAGCTGGGAAGATAAACCAGGCATAGGGAATCAACCTAGAACTAGAGAGCTCAACCCGGAGAATTCAGTAGAGGCCTTGACATTCTGAAGCAGGATTAAGCTGAGGCAGGAACTACCTACTCTTCAACAGCTCTACACGCAGCATTGTGGGGCACAGAGGAGTCCTGGGCGGGAGGCTGAGGGGACACAGGCCACACTGGAGCCTGTTATGGCAGGGCCAAGGAACAGGCGGCAAAGCGGTGCACAAGCCACCGAGTGTCTGAGGAAGGCTGGCCGCTGGGATACAGTGGGCAACGGGGAGGCAGGCAGTTACCAGTGAGGATGCCCCAGAACCCCTAGAATGGGTCAGTCTGCCAGGGTCCAGGCTGCAGGCAGCAAGGGGTGAGCACTCTGCCTGGCAGGCAAGGGGCTTATAGAACAAGCCTGTGATAAACGAGGCCTTTCACAGCAAGGTCACTCTTGACCTCGGATAGTCCATTTAAGAAATTACGTATCAGTGTCCACCCAGATTAAAAAAGATACTTTATTATAATTCTTAATTGCAGAACTCAAGACTAAATACCACCCCCACACATACTGATCTCTGGTGCTGTCTTCCATACCCCTCAACATCAGGCCAATGACTAATGCCTCCGGGAATTTTCCAGTTCAACCCCGTACGCCAACTTGAAATAAAAGGAACTGCTAGTCCTTTGGGTTTTACCCACAGATCCAAAGTGCTATGACAGCTGGAAGGTCTGATGTAGATCATTTTGCTGGGTTAGCAAACAGCGCCGTGGGCAGTTTCCTGGGAGTGTCACAGTATGAACCTGCGCCCTGCCATCCTGCAGGTCTTCTCTTTTCACTATTTTCTTTTGGCTCTTCCTTTGGGGTTGCCTCATATAGCACAGTCAGAATTTATTTTCTGGCCAGAAACACACTGAGTAGCAGGTGTTTCTGATGAGTAGTAATTACATATTCGGTTACTGAGTCTACAATTGAGAAATTAGGACTCTGGGGTTATAAAACTTCAATCTATTCCAAGGTAAGGAAACAAATTACTCAGCTGGCTGAAGAAATGCTTCATTTTTCCAAAATCATAATCCAATATGGACTTCTGCATCATGCTATAGCCAAACACAAAGTCAGGTCACTGGTCTTTCCCACACAATTCACAGAGCACCCCTTCCTGTCTTCCTCTTTGCAGAGACTACAGATCCTGGAAGCCGTCACGTCTGTGGCCGGGGTTACTTGGTGCTCAGGGAACAACCATCTCCAGGCCCACATGATTAGGACCAACTGTTTCTTTACATATGACGCTGCTAGACCTGGAGCCCCAACTCTGAGAAAGCGAGGACTCTCTGAGTGGGGACAGGCCGAGAGCTGAGGTCACACCACCAACAGAACCAGGCGCTACTGCAGCTACCAATCCTTTGAAATATCATTGTCATCTTCAAAACTCATATTCCTTTTTTTTTTTTTTTTCCTTTCCTAATCAGGAAATCAGAAATGTGAACATGAGCCTGAATTGCCCACAAACATATTCTTAGTGGAAGTGAGGATATTTTAGGATATGGAAAGCATTTCAAGACATCTGTTTTCAGGAACAGACCACAGCCACACAAATACTGCTTAGAGCTGGTTTGTTCAATGTCTGTCTCAAGAGCAAGGGCGGTCGGCTTCCAGGAGGCACTGGGACTCGATCTGGCAAAAATACTTTCGCTTTCCTAAAGTTATGTCATCTTCAAGTTCATCTCTCTCACACACACACACACACACACACACACACACACACACACACACACAAATATCTATCCCTTTCTGTCAGCAAAAAAAGGGAACATTTTTTTAAAACTCTAAAACAAAGAATCTCTGTGTAGAATGAAGGCAGAATTTTGGTTGTTTTTAAAATTCAGAACAGAGATGAAATCAGAAAGTGTGCAATGGTCTCTACATTCACATCTTTCAAGTCCTTGTCTCCTTTCACATGAATTCATCTGAATCATTGCCATCCTGTGGGAAATAAGAAAAGAGAAACTGTAAAGGTCTGGAAGATAAAATACTTAATATTTTAAATTTACCATTACAAACTTAAGCGGTACGCCTGCCTCTCCTCCCTCACTCTCAGGGTACAGGAAGCACAAAGCATGCTGTTTCTGGTCTCCCTGGTTCCACTAGCTCCCCGGAACAGTTGGACTAGCAGGTGCCACCACACAGCCTGAGTCACAGTGGTGAGTTACCATGGTTCCCAAATGATGACGCACAGCCCACGCCACCCAGCACAGGCTGTCACTAATGTGACTGAGAAAACGTGGTTCTACGTTAGCATAAGCTATGAAGTACTAACTTAGCACGAAACCCAAATATATACATACATATTCTTTAAATTAAGTAACTATGAGACAGTGGGTGTGAATGTTTCATTACAGTAATTTTTACTATTCACATGTACCCTATAACATCACGCCGCACATCTTAAATGGACAAAATAAATATTTGTTTTAAAAAAAGGAACGATGAATCTGTCAACAGCAATACAGAACACACACTGCCTCAATACTTTCCTGCCAGTGAGTGACCTAAACTCTGGTTTGTTGAACCCCAGGATAGGGGTTTTTTATTTCTGTTTTTGTTTTTGTTTTTGCATGCCAGGCAAATGCTCTGCCACTGAGCCACACCCAGCTCTCAAGGTTGTCAGATCTGTGGCTGCATGAGGTGGCCTCATAGCCTCCCTCCCTGTCTTCCTTTTCCTCTGTCTCTCCCTTTTTCTTTCCTTTCCTCCCCTGAAAAGACCTTAGGAAGCCAAGTACGAGGTAGCTACCAAACTGGCCAGCTTGCCAGGTGGGATTAAAATAGAACCCTCCGTGATGGGGCAGAGTGAAGGCACCAACTTTGTTCTGTGGCTTTGTCCTGTGCTCCTTTGCTGCCACATTCGCTAACAGGGCCCTCAGAGTCCTGGTCATGGGCTTGCCAAGGCCACCGGCTGAGCACCGCACCAGTTTCACCCTGACACCAGAGTAGTTAGAGACAGCGACAGACTTAGGCTCACATGTGCTCCTCTCCTGACAGCCCATCTGGGGCGGTAGGGAAAGGTCAGACATGGGGCACAGAACAGTGGCAACTCCAGAAGTCTGGGTTCACCTCTGGCTATGGGCAGTGGCTCTTGCTGTGCTTCTCTCCCATGAGCACAGAGAACTAGGCCACAGTGCAGGTGCCTCAGGTAACTGTAGGGAATAGACAGTCTGGATTCTGTCCAGGCACCAGGCTGCCTGCTCCAAGGTCCTCGACTCAGGTAACAGCATTGGCACTGTCGGAAAGGGTTACCATGCGTCTGTGAGCGTCAGCTTTCTGTCCCAGTCACTCTGGATGAACTCCTGGGCTGGTGACAGTCACAGTGACAGTGCTGCTCCCTGCAGAGGCTCCAAGTGAGATCTACAGAGGTCCCTCCTGTCTGAGGGGCTATGTTCTGGGGTCAAAGAAACTTTAAGTACTTATCTGAGATTTGAGACTATTTGGACAACGTTCCTATTTGAGATTCCTTCTGCTTTGAGTCAATATGGTTTTCAATTTAACAAAAGGTTTCTTGTTACCCAGTGAAATACTGATAAACCAAAGGAATGTTACAAGTAATTGTTTATGATTCCTAATAACAAATTTAGAAAGATTAGAAAGAAATTATAAATTGAAGAGATTATCCTAAATAGAACACTGATAATTCAAAATGAAAACCAACCTCAGGGTGAAAGTATGCTTCCCGATAAACTTGTATAAGCGAAACAATCAAGTCTTAACTTGCAAAAAGAGCCCTTAAATAAAAATCAGAACTGACCATGCTGCCATGTTAGAGCAGTTTCCACCTCCTAATAGAAGATGGTTATGGGGAGAACTGAAGCTTCTCCTTTTGAACTGTGGGTAAGGGAGACAGTTGGGTCTGTCCACTGAAGGAAACAAAGAGGCCCAATGCAAAGCTTCCCTGGGAACCTGAACTTGATTCAAGCCTCAGGTACAGGGTATCAAGCAGCAGAGCGCAGGGAGGGCAGCAGCGCCACACACTCATCTTTTGTTCTGCAAGTTCACCTTCTAGTTGTGGAACTAACATTGTCACTAACAGGATGGTGTTTTTATACATACAGTACACGGTCGAGCCTCTGGATCTCTGGATTCAACCAAATGAGACGGAAAATGTTTTTTTAAAAAAACTCTGCACTAAACTGTACATGTATATTTTCCTATCATTACTTCCTAAACAATACAGTACAACTCTTTATACAACATTTACATTATACTAGCTATAAAGAACCTAGAGATGATTTAAAATTCAGGAAGATGTGTGTGGGTCTGATGCCAATACTTTGCTATTTTTATTTTACATAAGGGACATGGCATCTCCAGATTCCGGTAGGGGCTCCAGCATCAGTGTCCCACAGGCATCAAGATATACTGGCGTGTCTGTGTGTATAGATTTTTCAACCACAGAACAACATGCACATTTTTAACATTCATGGTAATGAGTGTGTCCAAGGTCAGAACATAACATGGAGGCCAGATTTTTCATAAAAAACGAAAAAACAGCTTCTAAATGATAGATAATTGCAAGCTGGATGTGTGCCTCAGGCCTGAAACGCCAGCACTAGGGAGGCTGAGGTAGGAGGATCACCACGAGTTCCAGGCCAGGGCCTGGGCCACATAACGAGTTCAAGACCCTGTCTCAAAAAACCAATAAATGAATAAACGAATGAATGAGTGAAAGAAAACTTCAGTTAAATGACAATAACCACAGCACAGACTGAAGTAGTGGACTTAATTTAGCATGAAAATTTGATTTGGAATATGTTAAAACTTCTGCCAAACTGTCCTGAGTTTCAAGAAATCTATGAATAGCTTTCAAAAAGGAACATGTCTCAGCTTTTGACACTGGCATTTTGTGGGGAGCTAACAACTGCAGACTAATAATGACTTCAGTAACTAAGCCTGGGAAAACTCTCACATGTGTCCTGTTCACATTTTGAAATGCCCAATGAACTGACGGCTCCACTTCGCCGGTGAGGAAAATACCCCGAGAGGTCACACAGCTTTGTTAGATTTTGTTCTGCGGACACTGTTCCTGAACACTTTTGGAAGAGTATTACATCTAAATCATGGCTAAAATCTTACTCATTCCAATTTACACACTGAGTCAGGGGTCTGACCAGGAAAGGGGAGCAGATCCGCTTCACAGGACTTCCTGCAGCAACAGAAAGCTCTGTCTGCACCCACGCAGCACCCCTGGCCATACACAGTGCTATGACTGAGGAACACGAGTTCTAACGAGACTTTATCTAATTTAAACAGCACATCAGTTAGTAGCTAGCAGACAGGGTGCTGATCTGAAGTATGTACTTTAAAACTATACAATAAAACCGCAGTCTCCAAATACATCCACGCGGCTTCAATTCTCTGCAGGGACCACTGCTCAGTACCAGCTGAATTAGGCTCCCTCTGACACGGCAGCCCAACTCTGGGGAACAAAGTCCTCAGGGATCAGAAGTCTCTAACTCTGTTCCAATGAAACAGTCAGCTGTGGACGTTAAAAAGATCCTTTGGCACTGGCCCTGGGTCACCATTTCCCCTGTCTCCAGGAATGTGAAAACAGCAGATTCTATCACTTAGGCTACAGTACAACATCTGAGGGTCAGAATTTTTATTTCTTTTTTAATGAAAGCAACAATTTTATTCTTGCGCAGTTAACACTACAGAATCGAGTCACATCAATACAGAAGACTAACAAATCAAGGCTCTCTTGTAGGTCTGAGAATAGAAAAATGGGGGAAGTGGGAAAAAGTCCTGTGCTAAAGTCTGGATCTGGAATGGCCCCAGAGGCCCAGGCGCTACAAGCTTGATTTGCAGCCTATGGCACCACTGGTAGGACTTTTCAGAGGTGGGGCTGGTGGCGGAAGTTGCACTGGGGGCCTCAGCTCCTTCCTATCTCCCCCCAGTCCCTTCCTTCCTGGTTGCTATGAGGTGAGCAGCTTACTCTGCTGCCTGCTCCCACCATGATACACTGCCTCTCCGCTGGCTCAAAAGCAGCGAGGCCAATGGACAGTAGGCTGAAACCTCCAAACAGTGAGTCAAACTAAACTTTTTTTAAAGTTAATTGTCTTGGGTATTTTGTTACAGCAATGGAAGGCAAGCACAGCCTGTATACTAATGGGCCTGTACTTCACAGTAAACAAGGGATGACAATGTCTTTCTAAAAGTGAGCTATATGAAAACAGATAACATTGGAAAGTCCATAGGTAAGCCAGGCAATGCCTAACAGAATTCAGCATAAAGTTTTCAATAACAGAATACACTCTATAATGTGTCTATGACCAGCAACTCATTTATTAAAAAACTTAGTGAATTATTTCAAGGCACATTAGAGCAAATGACTTGAACACACCTGATTTGAAGACATATTCTCAGCTTTCATTAGTGATGAATAGCTCCTTAGGAGAAAAGAAAACATTTAAAATGAGGTTATTCAGTCAATGAGCATTTTATGAACATTCACTATCCTGGCTTAGGATCACTGGGCCAGAATTCCCACCTACATGAAAGTAAAACACAAAGTTACCTCTTTCTAGGTCACATGTTTCCTCTGAGTTTCACCCATCAACCCAACTGCCTCTATGACATCTATTTTAGCTGTCATAAAGATATTTTCAAATTTCTGCATCTAATGCATGGTCCTGCCCTTACCAAAACCAACTGGATTCCTTTGTCCTGCTGCTCCCTAGCTCAAAGAGTGACGCTGTCCATTCCACTTCAAACCCGAAACCCAGGAGTCCTTTTTAGCAACCCGCCTTGTCCAACTATCATTGGGTCCTACCATTTTACCTACAAATGTATCTCTCACTGGGCCGCTCGTCACTGTGTCCCACCACAGTCCCAGCTATCATCACCTGTGGACAACTGCCAATCCCTCCCCAACCACCCACATCTCCACGGGCTCCCTCTGCAGGACCTCCTGCGCTCAAGCCTCATGGTACCACCCTTCTGCTGGAAACCTTTCGATGATGTCTGAGACAAATACGGCCAGTAGGGCCCTACAGGGACCAGCCCCTCCATCCATCTTCCTCCCACTCTCGCTGGCCCAGTCACCCAGGACTTTGGTCCTGTGTTTTGCCTTGCTGCTTCTCACACAGCTTCCTCTGCCTGAAGCACTTCCCAGCCTTTTCAGCAGCTGTGGGAGTCCTGCCCTCAGCATCACCACCATGGCAGAGGGAAGCTAATCCTGGTCACTCTTTACGTTTGCGACACATCAATTAATCCTCTGTGTATCTATGCAAAGCACCACCAGGAATACAGGGATGTAACCACTGCACAAGCCCTTCTTTAAAGGTGCTCATGATTAACACAGAGCATTACTGGAGAAGGCGACAGCAGTGTGCATGAGGTAAAGAAAAGGAAGAGCAACAAAGCCATTTCTTTAAGAGGCTGAGTAATCCTTTTAATCAGTGGCCTCATAATTACCTCTTTTACATGTGGTTACTAACTTCACCCTACAAGTCTGTTGGTACCCAAGTCCCATAACTCCTGTAAAGGCTTTTTTATTACTTATAATAAGAAACCACTGTACAATATAATTTTTCAATCTCTTATTTGCCCATGGATAGCCCAGTTGATCATTTCATTCCTTCCCTCAAAGGCAGCATTGTACAGCGAGGAAGGCAGAATTAGAGGCTTCCTGCTTTACCACTTCTTAGTAGTAACTATCCCCACATTAATTTCCTCACTGAAGTGATCTCTTTCAAAATCTCCGCATTCTGCACACTTATCCTATTTTTCTTGCCTCTTTTTTCCCCTTGAGGGGATGGGCTTTGACACATAGTTCATGCCAGCCTAGACTCACTCGGTACCCCAGCCCAGTCTTGAAATTGCAGTAATCCTCCTGTCTCAGCCCGAGTGCCGGGATTATAGGTGTGTATAACCATGCCCATATTGTCACTTTCTGAAGCAGCTCTGAAAGATGTCTTTCGTGTCTTTACTTATGCTGTTGTGGCTGTTTCCATGTCCTGAATCAATTCAAAATATTTCCCTTTCATGGTCATTTTGACTTTGGGCCAGAAGTCACACAGCACTGGATCCAGTGAACAAGGTGGATAAGGACACAACAGAATGTTTTTATCTGACAGAAACTGCCCCTCAACATTTTGAATCAATTCAGGATACTGAGGCAGCCATGTCTGCACAACTGAAGACTCTCAGGAAAAAGGACTTCCAGAGGTGCTTTGGAAAGCAACAAGAACAATGACATAAAGATGTCTGAGGCTAGGTGAACATTTGGAGGAGGATCCATGGCAATGGGCTTTTCACTGTACTACATTTTTTGAAGCACGCTTTTTAAATCACATCTTGCATGATAAATCAGAAGTTCAGAGCCTGATGTTGGAATTTCACAAATGTTGCAGGCTCTAACATGCAAACCGCAGCTCTGGATATGCCATGCCAACCCTTGATGTGCCCTGCATCCAGGCCTGCACGACAGCCTCATCACGGGTTCCTGTCTTCCACAGCAGGTTACAGGGAACCAGCTGCATGGCACCTGTGTAACAGCCATAAATACAAATTCTTTTTTGGTTTTCTGAAGCGTATAATGACTACTAAAAAATACAAGTGACTAGTGACAGCTTAGAAAATGGCAATGATTAGATAACGCATGAGGCAAAGATTTTAACCTGATAAAGACTGGTATTTTAAATGTTGTACTTACTACAAAAGAAAGCCCAGAACACATGAAGTCTTTTAGTTGATGGTTTCTTTGACTTAATTGCTTATTAACTTTCAAAACTAGTGAAATCATACTAAATGCAATATATTTTAGTAATATGTATCTGAATTGAAAACATAGAATGTACTGTTTTTTTCAGGTAAATTATAATGTCTATAAATTACTTGATTTATAATGAATAAGTACTACTTTGAAAGTGAACTGAATAGAGGGCAGAAGAGTACAGTAACTTATGTGGACTTGAGAATCAGACTATGTGACACAATTGCTTCTCAGATGTAGCTTTTCTTCTACAAAATGGAGACAACAAAAATACCCAGCTGATAAATGAGAACACAAAGAAACACTATTAGTGCAGTATTTGACAGAGGCTAAATGTTCAAAAGTTGTCTAGTCTCCCTTATTTAATCTTATATGCAAATAAGTGCTTTATGTTTCTAACATCTAACATTCATGTCATATATATATATGAAAGGTACAAAAAGGCATGTCTTCAATTTTCCCCTGTTCTAAACTACAAGCAAAAATAATGAACTCCTCTAAATCATGCATTGCTCAGAACTGCCTGACTCACCACACTGGCAGAGTTGGCGATTTTTGTCTGACGCACAACCCTAGGCCATGCCATACATTTAAGTCTTTGCATTTGTCTGTGTCTTGATAGCAGATCATTAACTCAGAAGAGCGCTTCCATTTTAAAGAGGTTAATCATCCTACGTTAGCAGGACCCCCAACGGGACACATATGCGAACTTATGAAAATGTGTACGATGTAACCCCTACATGCCGGCCCAACACCTTTTCTAAGAGTTGGGGCTACGCTAAGGAAACTAGGTCAGGACACAACAAGACTTATCATTTCCAAAGGTAGTATGTGTTATTTACACTCTATTTTTGGTATACTTATAACAAATGGTACCTATGGAAAACTATAGGAAGAACTATGAATAGAAACTGCAGGAATAATTTCTTGAAGTTATGAAAAAATAAAGCATCTGACTAGAAACAGCAGCATGTATTTATGTGGCCGGTGGAGTAGCTGAGGGGGCCCCCTCCAACCCCCACCTCATGCCGCCCAGGGTAATCTCCGAACGTACATGTCTGTTACCGTACAGACTCAAATTAAGACTTTGCAGAAGCTATTAAAGGCTTTAACGTGGAGAGCTTATCCCGGGGGTGGGTCTGATCTAGATACTTGTGTTTAGAGAGGGGGCAGTGCATGTGCCTTTGAGAGGGAACAAGGGGCCAGCACACTGTGGGCAGTCTCAGAAGATGGAAACCTCTCTCCAGAACCTCCGCAAAGGAATAGAGGCCTGTAACACCTTGAGGCCAGCAAGAAATCCGCTGGTCTTCTAATCTATAGGACTACAAGACAATAAATTTCTGTTGTTTTAATCAAATAAATGTTTGGCAATTTGTTTGAGAAAACTGGTATCATCTGTATCTCATAGCTTTATCTGCTAGTATTTTAGGAGCCAAATTAGATTTTTAATTATTGTTCAAAAATGTAGGGCAATGAAGCAGACTTTCATTAATTACTTGCAACTGTCCAAATGTAGACCAATTTTAAATCAGCTCTGGGACTTAGTAGTGTCCTCCTCTCAGGCCAAGACGACTGCACTCAAGCCTGCAGTCGCGCAGCTGGTCAGTATCGGGTGCTTAACACACAGCTGGACACGGCTCTGCAGCAGAGCTCACCAAGTGTGCAAGAGGCCTGGGCTCTTCGCAGCAGCAAATCAAACAAAGCCACCACCAGCCAACCACTCACTACAGAGCTGTTTACAAATCGGACGCTAAAGAAAACCCACTATGCTTTATCTAACACAGTCAACTATTTCATTCCACGTTCACCCTGCCTGTGTAAAATGGCAATTCATCTGACTGACACATTACACAAATGCCTTAACGCCTCAAGGCTCTGAGGTGGTCACAGCCCCTCCATGCACTGATGACACTCTTGGGGGTGAACACATGATCAAATCAGCAGGGAACACTCTCAGCCCACCCGGTGCCACGGCTCCCACATACCTCAGTTCATCCATTTCCCTCTTCTTCTTCATTTCTTCTTTTTCTCTCCGTTTCATTTCCTGAATTTGGGCTTTTTTCTCATTCCTCTCCTCGCGATCCCTGCCTTCCTTCTCTGCTGCCAGGTCAGGGAATCGCTCCAATTTGGTCTTTTCTAATCGGTTCAGGATCTCATTCACCTTCTTCTCCACTGTTACGATCTTTACCTTGGAGAGAGATAGGATTGAACCTTTATGTTCTGTTTCTTCCCCCAGGAGAGGGGCAAGGCTTTCCAGGGCTTCAGCAGCCCACTTTGCTCCCTTAGGGAACACATCACACTCGGCCCTCGATGACTGCGGTGCTGGGGGGTGGACGCGCACCAGAACTCCGTTTCCCGCAGAACACTTACATCCTTCTGCCTGTGGAAGCCTATCTGCCCCACGTCCATGTCGGCTGTCTTCTTCAAGTTCGACCACGGCGTGTATACCACGTTGACATTGTTCATCTTGCAGCCTGCAGAGAGAGAGAGAGACCGTCTTTACCATGCGGGCTGGAGCAGATGGCCCACCTCCCTCACCCACTGCACGGGCATCCAGCCCGCGAAGCCAAGCCTTCCACTGTGCAAAGCACCTAAAGTTTTTCAGAAACCACCCACAAAAAGCAAATGGTAAAGCCCACATTAAACAAAAAATGGCCAATGTATTCTGGTGGAAAGCTGGGGTCTGAGCAAACTACAATTGTGTGCGTGTATTTTTTTTTGGCAGTGGGGATTGAACTGTGATCTTGTGATTGCTAGGCAGGTGATTATGCTGCTGAGCTAATCCCCAGCCCTGTATGTGTGTATTTTAAAGGACCAAATAAGGTTCCTATTTTTTTAGAGGTTAATATCAGTAAAGGTTATGCAGCAATGCAGTGTGGGGTTCCAGAGATCAAAACTATTCTGGCATCACAATAAGCCAGCTGTGGACCTGCAGGAAAGTCCTCAGGGCTTCCTGAGCCTCATCTGAACTGGGAGGCAATGGGTTAGTTATAGTAAGGTTTTGCTCAGTGTAGCTGTTTCAGTAGTAGAATCCTTTTCACCAAAGAAAGCAGAAGTGGTCATTAAAGCAGGGTTGTTTTGGAAGAAAGATGCCAGGAGACCACACTCGGCCCACACCTCCCCTCTCCTCTCACCATCTCCTCTGCCACAGGCTGCCCTTTACCACTCTCCAGCCCCCCCCCCCCTTACCACCCTCTGGCAGTTCCAAGTCTCACAGGAATCTCACTGGTCTGAAACTCTCTATTTTCTCTCTGCCTTAGATGGCTATAAACTGATGCTGACATCCTTGCATATGCTATAGAAAACTGGCGAACCCCAGCTTACCAAAGATCAAAAGGTAACTCCCTAAAAATGGAGCAAAATGACATCACATGCTCCTGACTACAAAAAGTGAATTTCAGTTATATGCTACTACTGCTCAAAAATGCACTCAAGATCCCAGTCAAGAGGACACATCAGCAAGACCCAAGCCATGGACTACTCTACAGCTTGTCTCCTCTTTAAAAGCCAGTGTCTTGGGGTGGGGAGAACATGGTGGACAGATAACAACAGCTACGGAGGCTCTGTGAGATAGCCAGCTTAGATTCCAGGAATGGTGCAGTGTGGGGAGTCCTAAGCAGGGGGAGATATACCCTGCAGACCCAGGAACGAACTAAGCTGAGAGAAACCAACTGGAAATGCAATCCCAGTGCTACAACTGGAACAGCTAAAGTCTCAGTGCCAAAGCTGGAACCCGCGTCTCGGGAAACCACAGCTTGAATTTCCTGCCGCAGCCACTGCATCTGAATTGGCACAGCAGGGATAGAGACGCGAAAGCTCTGAGAGCGGGAATCGGCGAACTGAATTGAGAGCAGAGCTGGCGGGGAGCCCTGCATCAACCTGCAGTGAGTGAGAGGAATGGGGACCCTTCCATAGACTAGGAGGCTCCAAAAGAGGACATTCTGGGATTGGGCAGATTAGCTGGAACAGGATGCTGCAGTGACTTCAGTCACATATTCCCCTCTCAAGCGGGACTGGTGGGGAGCGCTTGACCTGGGTGACGCCACGGACTAAGACCCAGTAGACTAGCCCAAACTAGGTCCCTGCACCTGGCAGTGCACCCTAATGCAGTGAAGGCTTCAGCAGGTTGACTGACCTGGAGGGGCAGGCCCAGCATAGACTGCCCAGGTCTGTGTCTCCCTAGTACACGGCAGTGGGTGGGAACACCTAGCTGGCACGATTCAAACAAACTGTAACCGACAAAGAAAGAAACTGGGCTTCCTATATACTATATGTATGGAAGGAACAAAAAGTATGGGAAGACGGAGAAACAAGAAAGGGTTCTCAGTCCGCAATCCTGAGAATACTGATCCAGGAAAGGTAAATGCAAAGGAGAATGATGAGAACAGAAAACATGCAATATCAGACACAGCATCAACAGACATAAAGTGGTATCTGTGGGACTCATAGATGAGTTCAAAAGTGAATTATTTAACCAAGTAAAGCAAGATATAAGTAGAATAGTTAAAGAAATGCTAAGCACCTCCCAAGAAAAAACAGATGATAGAATGGAAGAACAGAAAAAAACGGGAGAATTGTTTGATGGAGAAAATAGAGAAAACATAGAATACATGAAGCAGGATTCAAAAGGTTCAAAGAGATTACCAGGAAACTAAAAACTCTATTGAAAGTTGGCGTAACAGCTTGAAAGAAACTAAGGATAGATTATCTGAACTGGAGGACAGATTTGTAATGTGGGAGCATGAAATGAAAAACTTCTTAAAAAAATAACAAGGAAACAAGCAGTAACAATATAAAGGCTAGAAGATGATAAGAGGATCGATCTATAACTTAAGAATTAAGAATGTAAAGGAAGAAGCAGGGATACAAACAAATGAACTGCAAAGGCTATTCACAGAAATAATCAAGGAGAACTTCCCTAATATGGGAAAAGGTAAAGATACTCAGATCAATGAGGCATACACTACCCCAGCCACCTACAGCCCAAACAGAACTGCACCCAGGCATATAATAATCAAAATTCCAGAAACCCAATATAAGAACAGAATATTAAAAGCTGTCAGAGACAAGAAACAGATCACTTACAAGGGAACACCCATTAGAATTACAGCAGATTTCTCAGCACAAACCATCAAATCACAAAGAGCGTGGGGTGAAATAATTCAAGCTTTGAAAGACAATAACCTCCAGCCAAGATTGATATATCCTGCACAACTGTCCCTAGAAATTAATGGTGCTTGGTCCCTAGAAACAAGGTGCTTCCAGGATAAAGAGGAACTAGAGGAATTTGCAACCACCAATTCAACTCTATAGAGAATACTGCAGGATATTTTAAAAGAGAAAAATACCAAGATTCCAGAAACAGTGACAGAGAGGCCACAATGAATGGAGCAGAAAGCAAAATGAACAAGACAAACTGACAACTAATGACAGAAAAAGAGCTCAACATAAATGAGGCAGAGAAGGTGGGATGGTATGAACAGCTATTTTGGAGAAAACAGACATCATAATAGCTAGTGCTGATTTAATATCATCTTGTTTTGAAGTCCCATCAAGCTTTTGTTCTTCTGTCTCCATCGGTCTTAACATGTTGTATCTTATTGGATTTTATTATATGTGACAAATAAACAAAAACTTTTATAGACAAGGAGATAATACAGAAACCATTGTTCATTTTCTGTTAGTTGGTTCTAAATACCCTGTAATACTGTCATTCTCTTGAATGGTTTTACATTGTCTTGATATATTTGATGCTACAGTATATGAAGTTATACTCAAAGATTTCAAGGAAAGAGACACTACTATGGTAACTACTTTTATGTCGGGATATCTTGTGGCAAAACACTATTTTGCTTAAATGGTTATGTTCTGACCTGTGCTATTTTGTTGTTATGTCCTCTTTTATCTCAATCTCCTTTTTTTATTATTTATTTTTTATTTTTATCTTTTTAAGGGAAAAAAATAAATAAAAAATAGCAGGATATATTATAGTAACCCACTTTGATTCCCTATTAACTTGATTTGAAACCCTGTATTGCTCTCATCATCTTGTTTTGACTGATTTTACTTTATTCTGTTCTGCTTGATAGTACCAAGTGTGAGAGTATAGGCAACAACTGTGAAGACAATAAGATTCACTATGATGCCCATTCTGGTTTGACTATTATCTTCTTTTGAAGTCCTGTAACGTCTCCAGTGTTTTGGTTTTATTGCTTTTGTTCTCTACTGTTTTGTTCAATATTATTATAACTGATGATATAGGCAGTTCTTTTTAAGATAGCAAGAGGCATTATGGTAACCACTGTTGATCACCTTGTATTTTGTTTTTACATTATGTACTATGTCCATCCTTTTGACTGACTCTGTTTTGTTATGTCACATTTGGTTTTATTCTCTTCAAAAAAAAAGTAATAAGAACTGTGGGAAACTTGATAGTACCAAGTTCGAAAGTATAGGCAACAACTGTGAAGACAGTAAGATTCATTGTGACACCCATTCTGGTTGACTATTATCTTCTTTTAAAGTCCCCAATGCTTTGGTTTTATTCTTTACTGTTTTGTTCAATTTTATTATAACTGGCAATTCTTCTTAAAATAGCAAGAGGAAGTATGGTAACCATTGTTGATCACCTTGTATTTTGTTTTTACATTATCTATTATGTCCATCCTTTTGATTTGACTGACTCTGTTCTGATACGTTGCATTTGGTTTTACTCTCTTCAAAAAAAGTATTAAGAACTGTGGGAATAATAAAACCCAAAATGTGTAATTGTCATTGTACAAAAGAAAAGAAAGTGCTCTAAAGGTTATAACTGCGTATATATTTAAGTGTATAAGATAGATAACCATATTACTGAGTTTTTTTGGATCATTGAACAAAACTGTTTGCACTCTCACTGTTTCAAAGCCCACTTTATATGCTTTAATTTTTTAACTTGAACAACTATTTCTAAGATGAGAATATGTAATCTATTAACTAGTGATTTCTTACTGTTTAATTTTTAAATTTTGTATTACTTGTACCCATTTTCTGTTTTTTTCTTTTTCTCCTTAAATTAAAAAAAAAAAAAAAAAACTGTGGGATGGGAATAATGAAATCCAAAATGTGTAATTGTCACTGTAAAAAAGAGAGGAAAAGGGGCTGGGGATTTAGCTCAGCAGCATAAGCGCCTGCCTTGTAAGCAGGCAGTCGTGAGTTCGATCCTTGGTACCGATAAAAAGGAAAAAGACAAAAAAAAAAAAAAAGAGGAAAAGAAAGTGCTCTAAAGGATATAACTGCATGTATATTTAAGCGTATAAGAGATAACCATATTACTGAGTTTTTGTTGGATCATTGAACAGAACTGTTTGCAGTCTCACTGTTTGAATGTCCACTTTATATGCTTTAATTTTGTAACTTGAACAACTATTTCTAAGATGATAATATGTTATCTATTAACTAGTGATTTCCTACTGTTTATTTTTTTGAAATTCTATATAACTTATACCCTTTTTTTGTTTTTTTTTTTCTCCTTAAATAAAATTAAAAAAAAAAAAAAAAGCCAGTGTCTTGACAAAGTAAGGAAGACTCTACAGATCAATGGAGGTCAGAGATCTGTGACAGATAAATCCACTGCACCATCCTGCATCAAATTTGTACCAAGCGAAATTTGCTATAAAAGGCACCAGGACAACTGGCAGAACTTAAATATGGACTGTGTATCAGGTAACAGTATTCTATTCATACTAAACTTCCTGAATCCGATCACTGTAATACAGTTATTTAAGACAAATCCAGGTTTCTTAAGAGACACATGTGGAAGAGTCACAGTACCTACAATTTTCCTTCAGAAGCCTCAGGAAAAAAGTTAACAAACATGATATTTTTAGAAAACAAAATATGAAAAAGTTTTTAAAATTTAAATCTAAATGAAGAGCATATGTGAACTGTAATTTTTGTGCAACTTTCCTGTAGGTTTGAAAGATTTTTTTTTTTCCAAAACAAGTTTTTAAAAAAAAAAAAGCATATGCAAGGTACTGGGTCGAGGAGTGGGGACCAACCTGACCAGGTAATAGCCCTACCTACCAAGGCTCTAGAGGAGACAAGTTCATAAGTCACTTCAATTAGGAGGAGGAGGCGGCAAAGGCCGTGGAGAGATACCCGCGTGCCACGCAGTTCAGGGATGGCAGGGAGGCAGGGAGCCCTCCGCACTGCAGAGGGAAGGTACCCAGGAGAGGGGCTCCAAATAGAGGCCTGCAGTCAGATGGCTCACTTCAAATCCAGCCTCCGCTGTCTGGCCAAGCCCTGAAACTGTGGGCAAGGTCCTTCCTCCTCTTTAAGTTTGGTCTACAGAATTAAAATAATCACAGTTAGCTACAGGAGTGATAAAATCATCTGCAAAGCTTCTAGTACAGGGCCAGGCAGCCCATCAGCATCAGCAGCTGCTACTCTTACTATGACCACACATGTACCTCGGTGTGGACATGCTCGCTGAGGCCCTGGGAGGATGCAAGTGGGGGCAGAAGATAAAACAGAAAGATAGGTAGAAGCTCGGAAAATGATAAATATCGGCTGTGGCTGAAGCATGAAACAAATGAAGAGAAAGAATCTGTAGTTAGATCAGAGATGCCTATGAGACACCAATTTGAGACATTTGCGCTCTACAGGCAAAGGGAGTCACAGCCATCTGCTAGGCTTCTCCAGGTTCATCAGGTGACAAAGAACAGGCTGACTTGTGCCTCAAGGCTCAGAAGCCAAAACAGGCTGATTCTACGGGTATAACCTTCACATCGCTGGCGCTAGGCAGGGACAGTGACCAAATGGAAGGACATTTTGAACTCCAGGTGTCCAAGGGGAGTGTCTGCTGCAGCCTCCAGCAAACATCACCCCCTTTATTCCACAGCAGCAATCTCTGCCGGGCTCACAAAGCAGCCCTGGGCTCAGCTCCTCGTTCTGTGAGCTGCTATCAGTATGTGCCTGCCCCATGTGTACCCTCTATCCACACCACACTTCTTCAACTTCACAGCAAACCAAAACTACTTTCACCCTCCCTGGCCTATGTGCTGCATCTAAAATTCAGTCTATTAATTTAGTCAATCCTGAGACCACTGCCACCAAGGTCCCTTCTTAATTGCCACCTCACCCAACAATCATTCTTCTTGGCCTTTACTGGCTTTAAGTTAAACCTCATATGCTAGAAACGAGTAAGCATCAGCACAGCAGAAATACGCATGCACGGAGGCCAACAGCCCGCAACCCTGCGTATCAGAATCACCTAGATAACTTTTTTACAAAAATAGTGATACTTGGGGCTGGGGATTTCAGCTCAGCGGCATAAGCGCCTGCCTTACAAGCAGGTAGTCGTGAGTTTGATCCCCGGTGCCAATAAAAAGCAAAAAGACAAAAAAAAAAAGTGATACTCAAGGATCATTCCAGACCAACTAAAATCTCTGGGGAGAAAGGACAACATGATCAATTGACTTTACAGCTTCACAACTTAAAGAAAGAAACAAAATAGGAGGAGGAGGAAGAGAAAGAGGAGAGAAAGAGAAATTAGAAAAAGATACAGGATTTAGAGACTCTAGTTCCAGCACTAAAAATAAAGCTATGACATATCTCTCTTACTTAGCTAGCATTATCAAATTTCCAAGTCTTTTTAAATATAAAAACTTAAAACTGCCACCCATTATACAGGTAAAATTTGATGCTACTTCCTTGACGCAAGTCAAAATCAACAGTACATTCTCTAAAACGCAATACATTTCAGACGTCAAGTCAGAGCTGATGCTGAGAACACCTCCAGGAAAACTGACCTTGAATGCTATTGGCCTTCACAAGCTGGGCACAGTCCACCAGCACTTCCTTGGGAATGTCTTCTATCTTCTCTCCCTGAAACACAAAAGCCGAAAGGTCCATGCCCCTGTGGCCTCACTGCACACAGCAGGCAGGGGCTCGTTTAACACAGACACTGAAAAGCCAGGTCAGTTTACTGCATCCCTCATGCGATGCTTATTTAAACCCAGGGAGGCCAAGGATATCAAGCACTACACTTATTATAAAAAATTAACTGTAACTGTAATATTAACTGCAATTACACCTAAATTTTTCTCTCTCACACTCTTTTTCTGAAAACCTGGTGGGGAAATGCCTATTTGTGACAACTAGATTCCTTACTGGCTGAGGCCACTATGACCTTGATCTCCAAAAGACAGCTCAGTGCTCTGGGTGTGGAACCTCAGGGGTAATCAAGAACAAAGTTCCTGTGTTAGATCTCCAGCATGCACCGGAAGATGGAACACAAAGATGCTATCGATCATTTTCCTCTACAGAAATCTATTTCAAGATGATTGAGCACTTCTGTTCTCTGCTTACGCAGGTGTTCAAAAACAATGAAAATATCTCGGAGGCAAAAGCGAGTGGAAATCAGTTTGGAACTGGGTCCTATTAGGCACAGGAATACAGGAACACCTGTCTGAGAAACAATGTGCCCCCTAAACTAACTCCTAAGTTTATTCTTTTATGTCTCTAAAACTTTTTACATTAAAAAAATTTTTTTTGGTGTTACAGATCAAACCCACGGCCTCACACATGCTAGTCAAGGACTCTCTACTACTGAGCTATGCCCCTCTACCCCGGGCACCAAGTTTTACATGCTGTAAGTGGGAATGTCAAATATGTACATTTGAGAAAAAAAAGTGAGCTGAGTTCATCAGTACTTTAAAGACATTTCAGACTATGCATTTCCTGGATCATTTAATAGAGGATTCTGAATTCAGTATCTTATTAACACAATGCCATTATTGTAACTCTCTCTAAGACAGCAAACCAATTATCTAAAACTGGAAACTGTCTCACAGTATTATAGCCTCTCGTAAGGCAGTAGGTGGTACTGTAAGACAGGGATAAAATATAGAACAAGTGACTGACTGTACAATAATGAAATCAAAGTGATTTTAAAAAATAAAAACAGGCTGGGGATATAGCTCAGTGGCACTAGCACCTTCCAGCAAGTGCAAGGTTCTGAGTTCAATTCCTAGTACCAAAAAAAAAGTAAAAAACAAAAAAATACCACTGCCACTTTTTGACTGCCCACCATGCAGGGTACAGTCCACTGCCCTATAGTAGCCTGGATAGCCTCACCTTGTCAATGAAGAAACCACAGGTAGGTGACATTAAGGAGCTAGGCCAAGGTGACAGAGCTGAAGGATGAACTGGGCAAAACCCTGCGCTCTCAAATTGGCTGTGGACAGCAGTGCTGGCAGAGCTCTTGGGGCACAGTACAGTTTCTTGATTCTTGCTGATGTCTACATCCAAATTTCTCCCTACTAACCGTGGCTGTCACTTCTCCTAAAGCAACTTCTTCCTGTTTTGCTACTTCCAATATGTTATGAGCAACCAAAAGACACACAAAAAACTAAGAACCTCCCAGTTTAGTGTTCTGCACAAAGCCAGAATAAGTATGTTCTAAGGGGCTCCCAACATCCCAAGGCCAGAATTCTGAAGGTGGGCTTTGTGCCATCTTAATGCTAAGAGAATAGGAAACCTGTAGACAGTTAAGATTTTTCTGCGGGTTTTAAAAAATAAAAAACCTAGGAAAGAATATTGCTGAATGTCTATGATCTTCAAGGGTTGAATTCAACAAAAAACCAATAACACATATATATAGTGGTTAGCACATGCCTTGCATTGTTCTAAGTTAAGATACATTGGCTCTGACAGATGTGGTGGCACACACGTGCCTATAATTCCAACACTGAGGGAGACTGAGGCAGGAAGATCGCAAGTTGGAGTCCCACCCAAGAAACTCAGTGAAGCAGTCTCAAAGAGAGGAAGCAGAAGGAAAGGAAATGCAGCTCAGCAGCAAAGAGTCCCTGGTCTCACAGTGACCAGTCAGATAGGACTGGCCTAGTCCACAGAGCAAACGGGCACAGCTAAGCAGCAGCGAAGCCAGGATGAAAGCCAGCAATCCAGCCCCATCTGGGCTCCCAACCACCTGTCTTGCTGTATCTCAGCACTCACTTGGTACCTGCCAATCCAAGGGGCATGAGGAAGTAGCCCTATATATTTATGAAAAGAGCCTTTAAGTTTTAAAACAAAAACTTTGGGAAAACGTAAAAGACATTTCAAACTGGCACAGTACTCTGGGCAATTTGACAAAAAAGGAGTTCCTAAATTATAGACATCTTCTGACCTAGCAATTACTCCACAGCTGGGCACAGCTATCCAGGAGGCTGAGGCAGGAAGATCGTTTGCACCCAGGAGTTTGAGACCAGCTTGAACAATACAGTGAGACTCTACCTCTAGAAACAAGACACAAAACACAAAAGAACATTATTTTGTTGGAGATTCATAATACTGAAAAATTGTAAACCTATATTCTGATAAGGGAGCTTTCATGTTTTGATTTTGATTTTTTGAGACAGTCTTGCTGTGTAGTCCATGCTGGCCTCAAAACTCAAGAGTAATTCTCCTGCCTCAGCCTCCAGGTGCTGGGATTATAGAGATTCACTACCACACCTGAGTTGGGAGCTTTTGTATTAAAACATATGAAAATAATACAGTAACATGAAAAATTTATAAACATCACCTGAAAAAGTAACAGCATCAATCAGGGGATGCTGGGATGGATACAGGGACAGAATCTAACTGCATTACAAGTATAGGAATCACATCACTGAAAGGTCACGGGAACAATAGTAGCATATGTGAAACTCGGGCAAACAATGCATTCACTGGGAACTATAAAAGGCAACGTAACCGCACACCCAGCTGACAGACAAGAGACAGGCTGGCAGTTCAGAAGCCCCACACCTGCTACAGTCAAGTACGTAAACAGAAGGCGGACGGGAGCAGAGGGCACTGGGAAAACGCTCAATGGGCCTTACAACGGACTAGAGCCAGAGAGACCAACAGGAGAACGTGTGCAGCGTGATAAAGGCCCACAGGAGATCCTGACATATAAGTGGGCCAAGAAATGTATGGAGTGTGACTGAAGACAGTAAGTTTAGATTTAAAAAATGTACTACCGTAAAAGCACACGGCCACAAATCCCTCCCAAACTCCCCCTCACTGTGCACACACTTATCCTGTCGTTCTTGTCTCTTTCTGAAGCAGTGCTGAAGTCTTCCACAAGTGTCCTCCGTAGCTGCCTTCATGTTCTGACTGACTCAAAACATTTAATTTCCATGGTCGCTGGGGGAAAGCCAGAGGTCACCCAGTGCTACATCCAGTGTGCGAGTTGGCCGAGGACTCTGTGCTGTTTGACTGCAGTTGTCACACAGTCAGTCAATGAGATGTGCTTCCACTGACGTCACCTGACAGCAACACTGACCTGATTTTTGGTCACACCTCATAAAGGATGTCCAGAACTGCTTCCGAAAGGGGCAGGAAAGGTGGGAGGGTGTTCAAAGCAAGGAGGATTGAGGGGGACTAACAGCAATGTGTCCTTCCCTGTAATAAATATTTAAAAATTTAAACACATCCTATTTTTTGGTCATATTTTCTAAGATATGTAAGGTCTGTATGTAAGTTGAGTATTCCTTACCTAAACTGTGTTTCAATTTTTAGGATTTGGGGATATTTGCATATCTATGAGCTATCTTGGGGATGGAACCCACACCCATATCTAAACACAAGATTTACTAATGTTTCATCTGCTCCTCATACATAGCCTGGAAGTAAGTTTGTACCCTATTTTTAGGGCCCTGGCTTCCTGACAGTGACCTGTGGCATGAGGTAAGGACAGCATTTTCTACATGTGGTGCCTCTTCAGTGCTCGAACAGCTGATTTTGGAGCATCTCAGATTGTGGATTCTCAGGACAGGATGTTCAACCTGTGTTTCCCAGCTCTGTCAGCTCACAGGGCCTGGGATCAGTGACACTCTAGGACTCACTGGTACACCCAGAATCCAGGTCTTGATTTCAAAACACCATTCACCAAGAAAACAAACCAGGTTCCTTAGAGAAATGGCTGATTCTAGAGCTTGGCTAGGAAAAACACAAGATGCACCTGAAGCCCCTGTAGTACCAGAAGGTGAGGATGTGCGCAAGAAGCAAAAAGGGCACGAGAGGAGCACAGGCGCCCAGCTGGAACCACCCGGAGCACAGTCCTGGAAGGCAATGCAAGGTGGGAAGGCACACAAAGCCACACTGGCGCACTGAATGACCACGTAAAAGCGGCAGGAGACAAATCCTCCTTCCTGAAGAATTCCAAACCGAATCTATCCATGTTCCCCACTCTGGAAAGCGGGGCTGAATTCCACTCTTAATGGGGGCGAGACTTAGAGCCCTGCTTCTACTTAATCAAGGCTGGAAAGGGAAGGAAAGAAGCTTCGCAGAGGAGAAAGCTGGCCAGGCCACCAGCGAGAGCAGACTCATGAATACACCCACCCTCCGACCTGAGCCAGCGCTGGGAGACTCTTCTTCCTAAACCATAACCTCGGTCTTTCATAAATCCAAATGGAGCAACATTCTGTCTCTGGTCAAAGTGCCCGGGTCATAAAGAGCAGGGGAAGAATGATAAACTGTCACCGGGGTAGACGTGACAACTAAACACAATGTGGTCCTCTAGACTGGATCCTGGGAAAGAAAGACATCAATGGAAAAACTGCTAAAATTCACAGAAAGCCTGGAGTTGAGTTAGTAATAATATCCCAAGGCTGGCTTTTTAGTTTCTTACTATCTGCCCTAGTAAAATAACCTAGCAATGGAGGAAGCTACGCGGGAACTCTGCAGTATCTTTGCAATTTCTGTGTTATTTTCAAATTGCTCCAAGTAACAAGTTTATTTTTAAAAGGGAGTGGCTGGGTGTCATGCTGCATACCTGGCATCCCAGAACTCTGGGAGGCCAAGGCAGGAGGTTCAAAAGTTTGATTCTAGCCTGGGCAGCTTAAGTGACCCACTAAGGCCCTTCTCAACTACAAAAAAAAGGAGGAAGGATAGGGTGGAGGTGTAGCTCAGTGTAAAGGGCGCAGGTTCAACCTCCAGGACTAACGAAACACAAACACACATAGCACACACACACATGCACACACACATAACATATCGTGTGTGTGTGTGTGTGTGTGTGTATACACATGTATATATATATACGTCAAGCACATAATCCACGACTCAACTGTGTAAAATATATGAATAAAGACCCACTGGAAAAACAGTGGTGACGTGCTGTAGAGAGTGTTAAACCTGTTGCCTTTTGTTACTAGCACGCTGTTTCACGCTACCCGAAGAACTCGGATGCAGAGACTGGGAATGTCTGGTCTCAGGAAGGGAGGAGACTCACAGGAGCTGGGGCAAAAGGAGCCGCTGGAGAGGACAGAGCCTGGCAGTGGCCACTGAACCACGAGGGACAAAAGCAATGGCACAGACAATACATTCAACTGGCAGAACAAGGACACTTCTAGCTGGGGAACAGCTGCTACTCCTGACCCTCCTAACTCAGAAATGGCCCAGATTTCTCCATAATGATTTTCTGGTCAGGCAGAAGACAACTCTTCATTTACTAACTTTTACACTTTTGAACATAATTACCTGAAGCAATTTAATTTCAGAAAAAGAACAGGCTACGCTGCTCATCACTAAGGACAAAGCCATGGATCCATGTTTCAGTGCGTTTACCTTGTGCAATCGAAGGTATACATGAGCCGAAGAGATTTTGTCCACATGAAACCTACAAAGAATATAAACCATTTTTAGCAAGAGATACAAGATCACTGTCTCCTCAACCTCTTGCATCTGAAGCACCCCACTCCAGAAAGTATGACCCAGGGCTGTTTTTCCTTGGGGCTTCCCACTGCTGGGGACCGTGGGGTGAGGAAAACAGTCACCATCTAAAGGTCTTGCTGGCAACTAGAGTCGCAAGCTCAACACCAGAGTTATGTAGCTGTGTGTGCATAATCACCAGCTTGAGCAATGGTCCATATTAAATGCCCTGAGAGAGTAGTTTTTTCAGGTGACAGAGCTATCCAGGACCTAAAGCTTCACAGAAGAACTGAGGTTTGGTTGGCTCCTGAAGGAAGCACAGGGCTGAGAGGAAAAACAGGGAAACACATTCAGGTGAGAAGTGAAAGAAGTCTTCAAGATGCCAAGGTTGCCTAGCTGGCAGGTTCACAGCCCACAGGTGGGTGAAATGATGGGGCTTTTGGCTGGGACATCTTCAATCTTCAGCAATGGCAAAACAGCCCAAGGTCAATGTCAAGCATAGATTTAGAAAAGTTAGTTGAGGCCTGAGGTCACCAAGCAGAACACATCATTAAATAGGTCAGCTAAAATATGTCCAGTCCTGTACATAACCCATCTCCTGGGTGGACACGACCCCACAAACAGTGAGAATGCTCCCCCGCCATGTCATAATTTTACCTTTCATTAGGCTCTTAACTTAAACCTAAAATTGATGCGACTTTTGGAATATATTATGTTTAACAGCTCACCAAATGAAGGTGACTTTCTCTTTCTGCCTCCAGAATCCTAGCACCCAATGATGAGGTAGCACCCTACCTCAGGGTAGCAGAGGGCGAGCCCTTTGATGCTGTTAGCCCTTACTTTTCCACACTAAGAATGCTCAGTAAAACCCAAGAAGGTACCATTACATCCCATTATATGTTTTGCAAGACATTTTCATGCATCAATGTATGTTTTTAAATATGAAAATGGTCACACATTGACAGAACAAAACAGAGACCAGTAGGGTTCAATATAAAGGCTACATTGTTCCCAATTCCCTCTTTGGAAAAATTAAGTATCTTATTCATTTTGGCTTCAGAGTATCAGGAATTTTCTGAAAACAATCAATACTGATTGTAGATTTTATTTTTAATCCTTGCTGACAGCCAGAAATGGGCTTTACATCAGATTTGATTCATGTTTCTCCAAGTTGGTCATTTACCCATTTTTGTTCTCACATACGAGATTCATACTTTAGCTGGCGTTGTTTTATTCTGAAAAAAATATGCATTTTTTGCAAATCTGGAAATTATATACTTCATTATGCTCCTTCAGATTATTAGGCAGATACCATGCTACTACCCATGCTCAATTTTCTCTCGTTCTTTTACTTGCTTTAAGCCAGTTCTCTAACTCTTTCCTGTATACCCATAGGAGCTAAGCTACTCTGATTTTTATTTTGGGTTTCTGATGTGGAATTCTGCTAAATGAAATACCCAAAAAATTCAATATTTACCTAATAAAATCATACATAAGACCTGGGTGTAGTGGCACACACCAGTAATCGTAGTACTCTGGGAGGCTGGAGGCAGGATTGTAAGTTCAAGTCCAGCCTGGGTAACCTAGACATCCAGTGAGACCTTGTCTCAAAATAAAATTAAAAAGTGGGGGATGTAGCTTGAGGCAAAGGCTATGCATAAAGAAAACAAAAGTTCATACATAATTAAAAACCCTGAACACAGGAGCACCTGGGGCAGTGCGCACCACCTGTGGGCCTGTGGTGTGCTCACACACCTCTCTCTCCGAAAGACAGAACAACTGTTGGGTTTTGGGTGAAATGAGAATTAAAAAAACCAAAACCTTAACTCTATAATAAACAAACCATAGACAGTGAATTTTCTTATGTAAATCCTTCCTAAATTGCCCAAAATGCGTACTTGGAAGTATAATTACTATCCTTGTTAGGTTGTCTCTCTGTTGAATCCCTGTTGCCCTTTATTGAAGGCAAAGACTGGAAATGTCAGCAACAGGGCATCAAACACCTAAGGAAGCAGAGGCACGGAGCCCCAGAACCTGGCTCTTAAAACCTTAGTGCAGGGTGTATGAAAATAGTGTACAAATTAATTCCATTTTCCTTGTTTAGAAAATTAGTTTGGTTCCATCTGTGCTTACAGCTGGGACAATTCTTTGCTGTAAAGGTCTCAGGACCTGTAATCCTACCATACCACCACTTGGGAGGATGAGGGATGAGGTTCATCCCGAGTTTGAGGCCAGCCTAGGGCTGCACAGTGAGAGACCCTCCCTAAGTCTTGGGAGGTTTCCTGGGATGAACTACAACGTTGACATCATCTCAGAGGTAAAGTCCCAAAGGCTGCAGCAGAGTAAACAGGTTAAAATCCTACCCTGGAATGCAGAACAACTGGGAACCATTCCCGGCACTGCCTGGAAGATAGCCAGGACTGACAGTTCATCAACCGGAACCAGCCTTGGCTTCAGGCCGATTCCAGCGCACAGTGCTTCTCAAGTGACTGTGAGAACAGAACTCAGTCATGCCTAACCGCAGCCAGTAATCTCCAGACCGTACAAAAGTGTTAAAAAGCATCACTCTGTGTTTATAAATCCAATCTGTTACCTACTGACCTTAATTTCTGACTCAAGCTGTACTTTTCTGGGTGTAGACTGTAAATGCGAAACTTCCATTTATTTAAGGCAAAAGGTAAAAAGGTTGAGGTCTACTGTCTTGCATGGTGCATCTGACAATATAACATTTCCAGTGCAGGTATTTATGTCTCAAACCAACTACATTTAAAAACATCCAGCAGGGAGCTCCCTGACACGAACAGCCATTTCTAGCTCCCAGGGTGGAGCTAGGGACAGTTGATATGCTCCAGATGGGGGTGACAGGCCCTCAGAATGGAGGGAAGCAGAAAGTGGACACTAGGAAGAAACCACCAGCAGGGATGGTTACCAGGAAAGGAGAGAGCTAAATTCAGTAAAAAGTGACACATATTCACATACTTTGTGCCATGACCTATACTCAGTACCAGAGATGCAGCAGCTAAGCCGAGTAGACCACTGGAGGGCATCAGGGCCGTGCCCACAGTGCAATAACGGGTCTAGGAAGAGCTGCAGCAATGACCCTGGGGAAGAGCTGGACTGGGGCCTGATGCCACCACCAATGCATTCCATGTCCCTTAGCTTTAGTTTCCTGAGCTGAAAAATGGGCATGATAGCCAGGTGTGATGGTGCACACCTGTAACCCAGCACTCAGGAGGCGGAGACGGGAGGACTGCTGCAAGTTTAAGGCCAGCCAGGGGCACACAGTAAATTCAAAGCCAGCCTGAACTACAGAGCGAGACCTTGTCTCAAAACAAACAAACAAACCCCAAATGCACAACAAAACAAATGGGCATGACATTAAAACTTATTTACAGGGTGAGTGAGAAATGAAATGCAAGAACAGAGATACAAACACTTGTTAGTATTTGTCATGTAGTTAAGTGCATGAAAAATGTTCACCATGACTATCGTATCAAAGTAAATGGGGTCTGAGCACTGCTGGCCCACGTTTGGTCAGGGGTGTTATAAACTGGGGAGATGACCCCCACTCAAAAGGCAGGATTAAGGCCCAGGAGGGAGGTCACAAGGGTTAGCGTCAGTGGCAGAAGATGAAGACAGAAAATCAAAGCAACCATGTGTAAAAGCACTAAAAGAGACAGATCCGGAGCGTGCACTTGCAGACGGCCTGGTCTGAGCTAACAGGGAGGAGTCCTTTTGTTTGTTTTCTGGACTGGGTTTGGTAAACAAAACAAATCATCTGGAGGGAAGGTAAGAAGCCCGTATCATTATTGTTTAAATGGGTTCCTTCAATCTTTTAGAAAGAAGGCATGGGGTTGGAGCAAGAGTGGCCCGAATCTCAGTGTGGTGGCCCCCGAGACTCCACAAGACACCAAACGGCAGTCAGAGGACATTAGTGGTCTGGAAGCCTTTGTTCTCCGGCCTGCAGTCAAACCCAAGCCATTACTGCCAGCTTTTAGCCAGAGGTAATTATAAGTGAAGGCAATCGGCAGGAGGTGTTTATACCCGGACACCCATAAACACAAGTACACAGTACAAGCTCCAGCTTTAATCACAGGAGTCAGTTTGCTGCTAAGTCTAAGAAAGTTAATGATGATACGCAGGAAGCAGAACCAAAATTGTTACTTACCAAATATCTTCAGGCCAGCCATACTTTATCAGGTCTTCATCTACAGTAAGACATAAGAGAACACAGAAAAATTACAAACCGTCAAATGAAGGTGCGCCAGGGTTACAAGCCGGGAAGGGAGAGGTATCCACCCTCCCACACTCCTCTCTCCCTAACCAAAGAAGACAGTAATTCAGAGGCGCTGAAGCTTGAAACGCAGAAAAGTAAAACAACTTTCATAATTAGAGGATGTAAAACGCAAAACTTGAATACTCCTAGTCTACAGATATTTGTTTGAAGACAATGAAAACGCCAACAGCAAATCAGAGCAGCTGAGAAGTGAAATACATCAGAAAACTGACTCACTGCAGTAATACTTAATATGTAGATGGTTTTGTCAAAACAGTGACAAAATGGATTGCATTTTAGTGCAAGAAAAAAATAACTTGGTTATATAACGAGCATAGAAAACTAGGAACAAAACACCAGAGGAATAGGAAGAAAATAAAGATCTAAAATTCTATCCCACATGGAAATCAAATACAGAAGAAAGAAGTCAAAGAACGAAGTGTTTTGGGAGGTGATGAGAGGAGCAGAGCACTGCAAGGACTGGCTGGGAACTAATGTTTTTATTATAAGCATTCCACTACGATTTAATTTCCTAAACTATGTGGTAGATAAGAAATAAAGCTTTTCCTCAGGATGTGGCAGCACAAGCATGTTAGCCCAGCACTCTGGGTGCCTGAGCTGGACTGCAAGCCTGAGCCAGCTCGGGCACCTGAGACTCTGGTTAGTGAGACTCTGTCTCTAAATAAAAAGTTAAAAAGGGGTTGGGGGATGTAGCTCAGTGTTAAGGTCCTGGGTTCAATTCCCAGAGCAAATAAAATAAAATAAAATTTAAAACTTCTTGGAAAAAAGTGACTATAGAAAATTTATATCAATATATACTTCTAACAGTCAAATCAATAGAGATAATTACATTTAGTAGAAATATTTAGGTGTCAAAAATCAATTAAAGAATGGGAAGGTAAGCAAAATGATTCATACATGCCTGACTTGAACCTGAGATGACATGAACATGGACAGGATGTGTATGATTCATGGACGAGGTTGCTCTTAGGGCTGTGGGCACCCTGCGCTCACCCTGGCTTCTACCAGCTTCCAGAGGAAGCTGCGCCAGTGGCCAACACATGGCAGGACAAGTAGGGGAAAACAAATGGCCTCCCTCCCCCAACACCTGTCACTTTATTTTCTGTGGCTCCCTGGTGACATCTGCTGGCCAGGAGAGGAACAGACCTGACAGCTGTTGGGTGAAGGTAAACCCCTCATTTCAGCTTTGCCTGTGTTCCCTAGCCTTGGGTCTGGAGTGACCAGGCTACAGACTTTAAAGTGATGCACTGGGTGCTCCCTCCAGGAGGCCCAAAAGTGCAGCACTGTCTTCCACGGTGACTAGGAGAGGTGACACCTCCCACCATTCCCAAGGGCTCCAGATTCCATATGCACGCACATCAGTTGATGTAAATCTATCCAGATGTGAACCCACAGATGTAAATTCTACAACAGGTGTAAAGGGCTCCACAATCTGTCCCAGCTCACAGTGCCCTCAGTTACAGTTCCCACCTCCAGCCCCTGTGCTTCTTCAGCATTTGCTGTCATTGTGATTTCATTCTGTCCACTTTAAAATCAGATTTTATGTGCACAGCAGTTTTAGTTTTGTAACAAAATCCGCACATACTTCTTGTGTGTAAGTTCACCTAAAAAGGGAGAGCCCAGACCAAATCTCCTTAAGACATCACACGGGCTGGCACCAGCCCCACCCAGAGAGGCCCTCAGCAAGCAGTAAAGTAACACAGAAGAGCCAGGGCGGGAACACCAGCTGTGTGCAGCAGAAATAAGACAGTCCTTTGTTGTAAGAAATATGCAAAGCCCTGTCTTCCACAGTTGCACAGTGCAAAACCTACACAACCATATACAGAGGTTTGGTTGTAGGTGTTGCTCTGTAACAGAAGTCTTAGGTTCACATTTTAAAGTGGTAGAAAGCAAAGTAGCTTTGGTGAATAGCTGTGTGTTCAAATCTACTGTGGACAACCAGGGCTCTTGTCGCCGTGCCTAACTGCTCAGAAAGATGGCATCCCCTCCTCCACAATATCACAAGGATGCAAGCTGAATAAGTTACAAAAAATGACTGCACATTTGAACCTTGTCATGGCAATTTTGTGATCTAGAGACTGACACAAAACTTCAATGAATATATATAAAATGGCTGGGATGTAGCTTAGTGTGAAGGTCCTGGGTTGAATCCCCAGTACTGAAAAATTAATTGACAATTTACGGGCTACCAGGAGAAATCTAAAACGCAAGCAGTAACATTCTGCAGGCTAAAGTCAATGTCATAAATTCACTTCAAAATATGAATTTCTGCATTTTGTTGTGGTGGTTTTCTCCCCTGGCTAGGCTTCTGTTTCATGAGATCCAGTTTTGGTCTTGTTTGTTTTGCTGCTGGCAAATGTCTCCCACCAAACAATGCTACCCGTGCCTTTCCTGCAGCACAGGGAGTCATCAATCTGAACTGCTGCCCTGCCAAACTACACCTGACTGGACATGGATGGTGAAGAGGGGGAGTGGGACCGAATGACATTTTTCTTTTGGTCTTTTTGAGACAGGGTTTCGCTCTGCAGCCCAGGCTGGCCCTGAACTCACAGGGATCCTCCTGCCTCACTCTCCCAAATGCTGGAACTACAGGTGTGCACCTCTTTCCACAGCCAGGACCTGATGATTAACAACAGGAAGCTGCAAGCAGGCAGCAGATGGAGGACAGGAGGTGGAAGAGGAGGAGCCAACATCTCAGGTTGCACTTGCAGGCACCAAGTGGGCTGGGCCTTTTCACAGATCCTTAACCTTTAGCCCTGAGAGGTAGCCGAGGTTCAAAGAGGTTAAGAAACTGTGAGCCTGTTAAGGGCCACTGTAACCCAGGCTGGGCCAGCTCCAGAGCTCTCCCCAAAACACCACACCGGCCCCAGGTGCAGCAGCTGTTTTCCAGGCTTGAGAAACACTGCAGTCCAGTCCTCTGTGTTCCCTGCGGGGTCCAGCAGCACCCTCCAAGTCCCACACTGTGAGGGCTGTGAACTCCCGGCACCGCTGCTCATCAAGGAAGCTCAGTGGCAGAGCTGCTGGAGTGGTGTGCATACTTGTGATCCCAGCACTTGGAAGGCTGAGGTAGAAAGATCACTGTGAGCTTTAGGCCAGCCTGGGCTATAAAGTGAGACCCTCAAAAAAAGTAGAAAACAAACAAACAAACAGCTCAGTGGTAGACGTTGTACTCAGCATGCATGAGGCTCTGAGTTTGATCAATTTACAGTCCTGGGTTCAATTTCCAGCACCAAGGCCAAAACAACAAAAAACCTTAGTTTCTCTTTGGTCTTCCTCCTTGTACAGTCAAAATACTTATCCCCTAAGACACTGTGGTTTTTTTTTTTTTTTTTTTTTTTTTTTGCTTTTAAACTTTAGCTCATTCACTGGTGAGCCCCTGCTAAAAAATTTTTTTCAGACTCAGTTTTTAAAAATGAAATTGAACAAATAGGACATAGAGGGCTGAGATGTACTCAGTGTGAAGAGTCCTTGCTTCACATGTTCGAGGCCCTGGGTTTCATCTTTCCCCCACCCCCAAAGGAAAAAAGAACAGCAAACAGTATGGGTATTTTCTGTAAATTTTGTTCTGGCTATATGAATGTGTTTATCAAGATATATTTCAGCCAGGTGTGGTAGTATACTCCTATAACCCTAGCACTTGAGAGACTGAGGCAGGAGGATTGCAAGTTAAGAGACCAGCCAGGGCCATATAGCAAGAGCCTGTCTCAAAAAAATCTAAAAAATCAAATAAAATTTTAAAATAATAAAATCAAAATTTAAAAGATATAATGTAATTCATATTGAGGAGTGTGGTCAACAAAATTTGAAAAAAAATGTAATATTCCATGATTCAGAAAAAGCATCTTCATGGTAAAAAAAAAAATTCAGTAAGCCAGTCATGGTAGTGCACAACTAAAATCCCAGGGTGAAGATCACTGCAAGTTCAAGGCCAGCTTGGACTATATAGAGTTTAAGGTCAGAATGAATTATGGAAAGAGATGGTCTCAAAAAAAAAAAAAATAGATATAACTCTCCAAATTCTAAAAATTAATAATAATAATAATATTGAAAATGATTTCTTCAAAGTCTAAACCACAGAGACTGTGGCCCTTCCAGGGGAAGAACCAGCAGCAGCTCCTTAGATCCACGCTATGTTGGAACTTAGGACCCTGGGAAGCCAAGCAAGCACCTCCCCTCCCTGGTAAGCAGTGGCTGTTCAGCAGACTGCAGCCCTTCCAGGGGGAGAACCAGCAGCAACTCCTGAGATCCGTGATGTTGGAACTTAGGACACTGGGAAGCCAAGCAAGCACTTCCCCTCCCTGGTAATCCTCCCTGGTAAGCACTTCACCTCCCTGGTGGTGGTCTGCAGACTGTGGCCCTTCCAGGGGGAGAACCAGCAGCAGCTCCTGAGATCCATGTTGGAACTTAGGACGCTGTGAACCTAAACAGCCAGCCTGCCTCCCTGCTAGGCAATAGTGAACCTACTGATGCACAGCCTCGAGTCAAACATCCCATTTCCCCTACCTCCCTTCTTCTGTACCCTCCCCCCCCCCCGCCCCGTTAGCAAATGGGAACCAGAAATCTGAGCATCTCCTGGGAGGTTAACCATAGCAAATAAGAGGGACTTCCTTCTACTATCTCTTTGAAGGCAAATATTTTTATTACTGTTTTGCTCTATTTTGATTAATGGCACTGCTCTATTCAATATTCTGTTTTGATAAGTTCTATAATGTTTCGTATTTCATCTCATTTTGATATATATGATTGAAAGAACAACTATTATAAGGATAACGAAATATACTGTGATACCTATTACTGTTATCACAGTAACCTGTTGTGAAATTCTGTACCAATTTCACTGTACGATCTTAGTTGGCTTTATTCTGTCTTGTTCTGTTGTATTTTACCATTTTCAAAATAAAATTAAAAAAAAAAGTCTAAACCACAAAGGCTTCTGATATGATCTAAATTAACGTAGATTAAACTTTGATTCAAGTTACTCTAAATAACTGACACCAAAAAATTCTTTGTAAAGATTTCTAATCAGTAACGATGAGTCTAACTTAAGTAGTATTTGATATTACTAAATTCTAGAAGGAAGACTTCCTTATAATGGTGGTAACCTGGCAAAGTAGTGGAAAATCCACACCCTGTGAAGTCTAAAGCAGCAACTGTCAGGAAGCAGAGGTCACCAGAGGCCTGGAAGGTGGCAGAGAGAAGGAAAGGGTTCATCAAGAAAAGCAAGCTTGCAGTCATGTGGAAGAATGAATTGTGGTGTTCTAGGGTACTGTGGATAAATACAGTTAACAATAATTTCAAATTGTTAACAATTTCAAAAGTCGAAACCACAGCAAAGAAACCATAACTGTTTATGGAGATACGTTATTTACTTCACTTTGATCATTACACAATATATGTGTATACTGAAATATGAACAGTGTGCCCCACAAACATGTGCACTTATTACTTCTCAATTAAAAATTTATAAACCAATTAAACATTTATTAAAAAGGGGAAACTCACCCAACAAATCGGGGAGGGGGAGATAACACTTACCTGGTGGAAAAGTCAAAATCGAAAGCTTTTGAAAACTTACTTTCATATTTATCCTTTCCCATGTAAATGGTGTAAGTAGATGAATTAACTAAGACAAAACAAACATTAAAAACCAATTAGAAACATCATCACTAAAAGACTGGTTCATGGGTAAAATAAGTGACACATGCTTAGATCAGGGGCTGACAAATCACAGCTCATGGGACAAACCCAGCCCACATGCCTGGGTCTGAACGGCCCTTGGGCTGAAAAAGACTTGTGCATTTTTAAAAGCCTGATAAAAAGGAAAACAAAGACTAAGCTATAGAGACTCACAGGCCTGAAATATTTTCTATCTCACCTAAAAACAAAAAGTTTGCTAATTGTTCTTAAATGGCAATTCTGCCTACCCCTAACCCTAGCCTTCTGAGATGCAGTTTAATGGTGATTCCCAGTTTGTTCCTGCATCTTTGTTTTCCTCAAGAATTAAGAGAACCAAATCACAATCTGTACATTAGTTGTTTTAAAACAAATTCCGGCCCTTAGCCAGCTTTTATTTTGCACAGTTTAGTTATATTTCAAGGGTGCTGTGAACTATAATGAGCACCCTGTCCTACTCAGGGGAACCACACTCCCAAACGTTTTCAAAATCTGTGACCCTGAGCCCACTCGTGGGTTAAAATCACCCAGTGATGCCCAAGTTCCACTGAGGACCAACTAAATCCAAATCTCAGGGCAGCTTGCACACCGGTGTCTTTTAAAAGCCTTTCAGGTGAATCTAATGTGACCCTGGGGCACGGAACCACTGTCCTAAATCAGAACAGAACACTGTGAGCGCACTCATCTTAAGAATGACATTTGTGTCACACCAGGACGTTGTTCTACATGGGCATTCCTCATCTGGAATCACACGAAAATTTAAGTTTCCTATACAAATTATAACTGGATGTTGGGACGCCAAGCTAGTCTATAAAAACTCTTTTTCTCCAATTGGATTTGATATGTGAATCAATACTGTATTCAGCAGTCCAGTGATGGTAAGTCTTCTTGTGGAAGACAACTCCTGTGACTCCCCTTGAATGCAAAACAATTGCTGCAACTTTTATTATATGGAGACTTATTTCCTTATACTGACACATAGAGAGCTGACTATGGTATTTCCTTCTCTCTTCAGTTGGCTCTAAGCATCGAAAATAAGGCTAGCTGAGGTACTGGTATGTAACCTATAACGCCATCAATCAGTCTCCTGTTTCCTGCTTAGTATTCTCCGTGTATAGGATATGAGCACAGCGGGATGTTAGAGGCAATAGCTCTGGGAATGTCAACTGGGTATGAGCCTCAAAGTAAAGAGGCTATAACTCCCCAGGGCACAAAAATTTACGTATCAGTAATCTAAGCACTCCTAAAACAATTCAGTTGTTACCTTAATTGAAGTGCAAATCGAACCTTCAGCATATCCTTACCTCTGCATTTTGCAGAGATATTTTTCTCCTCAGTGTGACTAGCCGGCTCAAGTTACTCAGGTAATTCCCGCCATCCTCACTGTCACTCATCCCTGAGCCACCCAGCTTCTTCACAAGATAATAAATTCTGGGAGAGGCCTAGGATCAGGGTCTTTGTCCACACATCCTCACAGGGATTGAATTTACCACCCCTTGGCTACCCTTAATTTAGGACATGTCTTGGTGCCTTTACTCTCTCGGTGGGTTGCAGTGGAGGTGGTAGATTGGAATTAACTTGCTAGGATTACAATAACATCTTAATGGGATAGTAAATATAACTTTTTGGATTGTGAGGAAGATTACAAAAGAGATTACAATTCTTGGATGACTGCACACAATATTTTGGATTACAATACTTCTAGAGCTTTCAATGACACAAACAGCTCATGGGGCCACACGTGCTGCAGGTTCCCCACCCCTGCGGTAGGCTGTTTACAAAGCTTACTAGACAGGTACAGGCTGAGCTGCTGCCGGTCCACAGAACAGCAGCCTGCCTCCTACGCAACACTGGGAAGGCGGTGCAGTAGCAGTGTCTAGTGTAAATCCCTAAATCAGGAACCGCCTGCACTTCCAGAAATGAGAACCTTGTTACATAAGCAACTCTAGCTGCCTTTCTTGGGGAGGGAAAGCTCCAGACTCCTTGGGTTAGCAGCTCTGCCTACAGCCTGTAATTACCTGGCAGCAGCTGAGACATGAAGGGCAGCCATCTGCACAGGAGCTGGAGGCTGGGCCTGCTGGCCTCACTAGGTCCTGGCAGAGGATTCCACCAACTGGATGAGGCTCAGCCTGGCATGAAACCAGCGCCAGGTTAGAAATGGAACTAGAAAGCGCTTCAGGCTCTCTCTGCATAGCCTGGCAATAACTCACGCATCCACTCTTCCAATCCTCCATCACCAGGGGGAGTGAATTCAACTGAAGCAACCATCACCAGACTGCTGAATGAATTAAAGAACAGCCAGACACAAAATGCCATGTACTCATTTTTTAAAAAGGATAGGTGAAGAAAACAAGTAGTAGAATAGTACAATATTTCTTTTAAGATTCAATTTACAGAAAAATAAACTATAAAATTGGCACGGTGGCACATGCTTGTGATCTAAGCAGCCAGGAAGCTGAGGCAGAAAGATTCTGAGAGTTCCAGACCAATCTGGGCTGGATAGATACCAAGCCAACCTGGACTACGAGCAAAACTCTGCCTCCCAAAAAAGAAAATTAATAAAATAAATGATTACACCATGGTATCTACATATACATTAGATGATACACATATTTTGCTTGTATGTATGACACACATCAGTTAAGGATAGTTACCTTGGGTTCCTTGCTTATAAAGTATACAGACTGCTTTTGTGACTGGAACAAAAGTAGTTTTAAAAGTAATTGGAATAAAGTCATCTCCACACAGGCTCAGCTATCTAGGTTATAGGTAAGAGAATAACACGGAAATATTGATGGTTTGCCTATTAAAAGAGACGAGTAAGAACAAAACTGCAAAAAAAATCCATACAAAATGATTCTTCAATTACAAATGCTATGACAAATGCAGAGGTCACCAAGAGATGCAGGGAGTGGAAGTAAAGTAAAAGTGAAAACAATTAAGATATGTTACATGCCTATACCAACTCCCCATGAATATAATCATTGGGTACTGCAAACATGTACTAAAATTTTTTTAATTAAAAAATCTAAAAATGCAAATGTCATGAGTTGGGGCATATAATCCAAGCAATTGGGAGACTGAGGCACAAAGATTTCGAGTTTCGGGCCAGCCTGAGCAACTCATCTCAAAAAAATAAAGGCATGAAAGATAAAAACTAAGCCAACTGTTCCAGATGGAGAGGTCTAACAAGTAATAACAACTGAATGAAACAATGATTTATAATTTTATAGAGTAGCACACTGATGAAAACTTAATAAAACCTGTTAAGTAGTACTGCTGCAATGTAAAAATTTCCTAAATTTGATACTGAAGAATGTCTTTTGATAAGAGAATACACTTGATTTTAGCAAATAAAAATTAAAGCAACTTAGTAACAAATGTGAGGAGGGGAATGTGTATATATAGAGGGAAAAAGAAAGGGAAAGAAAGATGGCAAATGTGGTAAAATGTTAGAATTTGGGCTATCTAGAAAAAAATATACAGGAAATTTTTACTATTCTTGCAAATTTCTTAAAGACTGAAATTATGTCAAAATAGCAAAGTAACATAAAAGGAGCACAATTGTTAATTATGCTCCTTCCACCACTAAAGAGATGAAAAAGAAATACTTTAAAATTATTGTACTCTAAGTTGTTTTTTCTCACTCAAATAATATGGTTGCTTAGTGTGCAAACTGGTTATTTAAAAAGGTCTGCTTCATAAATGACAATTAGACTTAAAGGCCAGATGTATCCCCCCAAAGTAGCAATTCTGACCATAAAATGAAAGCTAATGGGAAAACAGGGCCCAGATTACTAAAGGGCACCTGTGAGAGTGTGATTCCCTCTTACAGAATTCAGGATACTTTGAAGGAGAATAAAGCTGTCAACATGTTTGTAACTATATTCCCTACCTACACGTTGTTTATTCTGCTGTGGGTCTGGAAAGGTTAGTGTGTTGTCAGGGACTCTATGGCTCCAGGGAGAAGCTACAAAGAGTATGATTGTACTATAAGCAGAGGAGGAGGAGGAAAATGTTCTTGGAACCTGTAACACTGGAAAGGGTGTATGATTTTTCAGGCTAGTTTTCTTTTTCATGAGTTTAAATAATAACTTGGGTTTTAAGAAAGAAACAAGTCAAAGCCAAGCATGGCAACAAAGCACACGCCTGTAAACCCAGCAGTCAATTGGCTAAGGCAGTAGGACTGCTGTGAATTCAAGGCCAGCCCAAGCTACATAGTTCAAGACCACTCTTAACTACTTAATGACAGTCTGTCTCAAAGTCCCCACCCACCTAAAAATCCAAAATACTTAACAACCAAATCTATAGACACAATAATATATTGTGGAAGCCTAAACTGCCAGGAAGTACAGTGAAGTGACAATGTGAGGGAGTAGGAGAACAGATGTCTACAAGTTAAAAGTTTCCTGAACTTCAGTTTTACCATCTCTAAAAATAAAGTTTCATCCTACAATCCCTGCCCTCTGGGAGGCTGAGGTAGGATGCTCACAAGTTCAAGCCTAGCCCGAACAGCTTAATGAATTTAGTGAGAGCCATGCTCAAAAAAATAAGAGTGGGGGTAGCTGTCAGTGCAAAGGCCTGGGTTCAATCCCCAGTATCGCTGAATAAATAAATAAACAGTCCTCATACAAATAACACAATGCTAGTTTTACTTAAGGCTCACCTTTTACAAGCTACTATAAGTGACACAATAGAAGGTGTTATAAGTTACAAAATGCTATTCTAAAAAAATAAAACAAACAGGACAACAAAATGCCATTTGTTTATTTAGCAAATAATCACTGAGAACTATTATGAGTCAGGCACTATGCCAAGGAGATAAAATGAAGAGTCCCTGTCCTCAAGGGACTTACACTGTAGCTCAATCAGACAGCATTTAACACCGTGATAAGTGCAGTGCTAGAGGTACCCCTGGGATATTAAGAAGGTCCTGGAAGCAGTATACTTAATCCTGGTGTGCATGCTAGGCCAGGAAAGGCATCTTGGGAAATCTGAATGAGAACTACCTTAGGGTAATACTTAACTAGGCGTTGATTTTAGACAAACGACATGCAGAGAAACTCAATGGAGAAACAACTCTGCCTGGAAACTAAAAGCATCCTTTCCTTGCCTACCAAAAGCAAACCCGAAGTACAACCACGTCTGCTTAGTGTGTGGCTGTCTCGACCTTCCAGAATCTTGCTATTGCTCTCACTCGCGGCCCAATTCCTTCGTAGAAAGGTAAGTGCACTCCCTGTAAAATAAAGTTATTGGCAGGGGTCTCCTCAAAGAGGGTAATTACCAGAGTGCAGCCAGAATAAATACAGCGGGAGCGGGGAAAATCCTTGCCATGGGGGTGGATGATGACGGAGCCCACAAACCACCCAATTCCAAGGAACTTGCGGGGGGAGGTGCCTTTCAGACTAGACTGAAGATGAGAATGATTTTCCGGGTGCAAAAACACCAGGGGCATAGCCCCTTCACGTTCCGCCCCGCGGCGCCGGCGAGGGGGCAGCGAGGACGATAGGGTAGCCCGAGGGATGGATGTGAAGGGGGCCGGGAGAGCGCGCGGAGGAGCGCTCGCCACAGAGGAGGTCCGAGCACAGCGCCGGTCTAGAAGGGGTCCCGGCTGTCAAAGCCTGCGGTCAGCAGGGCGCCCACTCACCGCTGCTGCTGGTGAAGTAGAACACCATGATCTCGGTGGCTGTGGGCAACACCTGCACCAACCAGCAGGACTCGAATCGCAAAGCTCAGGACACGAGAAGCTCCGCGACCGCCTGCTCCCAGGAACTCCGCCGCGCACTTCCGGCGCACATCGGTTGCGTCATAACGGAATCACGTCAGCGCCATCTTTAGTCCTGGCAGGACGGAGGGCATTGATTGGGATGAGGCATTAATGGCTTGGGGATTGAGAGAAAGAGACCTAGCCAAAATAACTGATGTTTGGAAAACGACAACATGTTTGAAGCAATGAAAGAGAAATGTTATTGTCAGATCTTATTTTCACATCCTACATTTTGGATGTAGGATGACATTTTGGATACATCCTACAGTCATATCGTGAAGGCTGTTTATTGATTTTACTTGCCTCTCCTTATCCCCGTATGGGTTCCATTGCTTTTTTTCAAACTTTATACTGATTACATTCCTTAGCACTTAGTAGGAGCTCATTATATTTTAAAGAGAACCCACATTCCACCTCTATTTGATGAATATTCTTTGCTTACCCAAACTTTATAGTCACGAGTTTAGAATTTTGTGCTAAGCTTGTCTATGTAATCCTTATAAAATTCAACTTTACAAAGCCCTCTCCAAAGTCAAATTTAAGTGAGCAACCCACCCTCCATCCTCAATATCTAATCAAACTCTTAATTCTCTAGCATCCCTGTGGTGATCTCTGGCCAACCTTGGCCTGTTTTCAGCTGATCCTAGTAGATCAGTTTAGCCAGAATCCTCCTTACTTTAGATGTTTCTACTTAGTGATTTTTCTATCTGCTGACTTCTACCCTCCACCTTGGCTGTGCCCAATCTTTGATCCTACTGTACAATCCCTATCACAATGGTCCTAAATAAATTCTTACAATGTTTTAATAGTACCTTTTTCTTGAGCATATTTTAACTTCAGCACTATAAGGTGGACATTGGGAATGTCAGTTAAACTCTCTTTGGTTTCATTTATTTGCTAAATAAAGGTTGTGAAGAATAGCCAACTCAGGATATTTTGTTAGAGTTGAATAAATTAACAGGTATCAAAAGCACAAAATGTGATGAGCACTCAAACAAATTGTTACTAATATTCATCAGATGCATGCCTCTACGGGTTTGAATTTACATGGTTCTGACTTTAAATCTAAGGTCAGCTATCTGTTATCTAGGATATTAAACAAATCCCAAATTTCTGAGCCTCAGAGGTCCACTTAACATAAAGCATAGGTAATCTTTTGTATAAAGTTTCCATTGCACTTGATTATTTTCTTCTGGTAAAACATAAAATTATGGCAAAACCATTGTTTATTTGTTTATGGCTTTTCTAAGGTCTCACTATGCAGTTCAGGCTAGTTTTGAAGTTACTATGTAGCCCAGGCTGGCATTGAACCTTAAACTCATAGTGATCCCCCTGCCTTGGCCTCCTGAGTGCTAAAATTAACTCCTGGCAAACCATTGCTTTAGACTGTTCCTTTCTGGGCTTCAAGAGACCAGAAAAAATGTAAGCAAAATGCCAAAGGCCACACAATCAAACTTAAGCTTTAAGGAAGTGAATAGATCCCAACACAGACCAGTCTTCCCTGAAAAACAGAAGTTCCTCCTCAGTCTGAATATGGTAATTTCCCTCTTCTTAAACCTTAAAAAAAAGTAACCTGATGTTAATCAGCACCTCCTTTTCACACCTCATTCTGTTTCCTTGTTTCCACATTATAAAACCCATTACTCTGCTACTGCCCAATGGGAGCTTATGTTCTGTCTAGTATTCAAGAATACATCTTATATTCATGAATTGTGAATAAAATCCAATAAGATCTACAACTGAACTTGTTGCAACTTTGTTATTTGATGCTTTATTCTGACGATTTCATTTGGCAAAGTTGAGTGAGTCGTTTAAGTTTATTTAGAGCTAAAAGTGTGCCCTGTGATACCAAACAACAACAATAACTAACAACAGACTTGTGCTTTAAGAACCTTCCTTTTTTCAAAAGCGAGAACCTGGCTATGTACTGTAAACTTTTCGGGCCTTCAGTTTTCTTTCTTTTTTTTTCTGTTTTAAAATTTCTATTAGTATTTTATACTACATGATGGCATTAATCGTGATGCTCATGCTATGATTTAACTTTTTGAAATGTAGCTGAATAAAAAAGTATAAGCAGAGAAGTATTCCTAGTTTTTAAAAAGGTCAAACTTAAGTGCTTTAAGAATATGGAGCAATTACAAAATGCTTCTTGCACCAAGTAACCCAGAATTTGACTTTGGCGTTCCGCTGGACCGAAACCTACAATTCCCAGAATGCACCTCGACAAGACAAGACGGGTGGTAGGGGGGAGGACGCTCCGCGCTGCTATAGCTTGGAAGGGAAGAGTACTTTCCGACAAGGAAGAGCTGTTTTGCCTCTCAAGGGCGGGAGAATGTTAGGGACAGCCTCTTGGGTGGGAGGGGCGAGGGCTAGGGAGCAACCAATCACCAAGGCATCCTGTGGAAGCGCCACAGAGCGACGAATTGGAATGCAGCAACGCCTGCGGCTTTTGGCGCGCGTTAATTTGAATGCGGGAGCGACTGCTTGGCTGAGGAGAGGTCCCGGGACGCTGAGGCGCACGCTTTCCCTGTGAGCAACCAGCTGGGAGTGCAAGGCCGAGGACACTCCGAGGTTTGTGGAAGTTAGAGAGTGTCACAGAAAAAGCCTTTGCCCTGGACTCTGTGGGTTGGCGGGTCGGGACCGAAGCCGCAGAGCGGCGGCTCTCCTGGCCAGAGGACGCCGGCTCGCTCTGTCCCTGCGCCAGCGTTTTCCGCGTCACGTTACCCTCACTGGTTTGGAGACAGGAGACTCCGGCGCTTTTCTCTCTTGCCTCACCTCGCTCCATCCCAGGAAGGTCTTCCCTTCGTTCCCACTGACTCCTTCGGTGTGTGTCGCTTTGAAGGAGGCGGGGGTCCCGTGGGGTCGGAAACTAACTTTCCCTCGGGTCGAGTTGATTTGCACGGTTAGCATTTTCAGCAGCCCTGCCAGAACAGAGTAGTTTACGTCTTGCTAGAATAATTTTCGAGTTAAGAATAAAGGTCGTCCTGCTTTGCTCCTATGGTGCGTCTCTCTCAAATTCGTTTTTTAAGACTGTGCTAACTTCGGTCGTTATAATTGATGATCTATTACTTATAGGAATTCAGTTAAGAAGATGGCATCTTTTACTCCTAAGAAGAGGAAGCAGGATTCTCTGGACAGTGACAGGTGAGTCTTAACCTACGCATAGAAACGCTTAAGAAAACTCCACCTTGTGTTCTCTCTTCAAATATATTTCCTAACATTTTCGTATTTCTAGTAGTCTGCACGTTTTGGTTACAGTAAGACTCTATATCCTAATTCTAGTTTGGAAATGCAGTAAGGTTTTATAATGAATTATGTTCTTTTGGAGGCAAAGAGAACACTGTTTTCTATAACTAGGAAATATGTCAGATGTTTTTTGTTTTCTTGTTCCTCTCCATTCACCACTTTAATGCTTAACGTAGTGTTTTGTGACAAGCAGGTATATACAAGCTTTGGTAGTATTTGCAGTTTCAGCTGAGACTAGTCCACTGATAGTTTTGGAACATGTCCTGCAGTGGTGGCCGAAGTGGGCTGTTTATATCTTTGAAAGCTCTGAAAGGTTCTCTCCGTCATTGGTGTATCCTGTGGATAAAGGGAACCACTGTATGTGAAACTCAAGTACATCTTATGCCAGAAATTTAAAAAGTCACTGAAGAAAAAGCCCCAGAAAATCAGTTTATTATGGAAAATTAATCATTATAGGGGACTTTTATATCCAATTGAGCAAGATATGTGGGCTATAATTTGTATGTGGCCTAGACATAGAAATAAATTTTGAAACACACAACATGTAAAAATGTATATCAAAGTTTCTTTTTAAACAATTTGATTCCATGAACATTATTGGTGTCTCCCTTTGGAAAGATATTTGAATGCTTTGTTTGATAAAGACAGAATTTAAGAATTCTGTTAAACTAATAGTTAATGTGTGTGTTTGGGGAAAAGGAGGTACTGTTTTTTGCATCACTTGTAATAAGTTTATTTTCTTAAAAGTAGATTTTCATAAATTTTGAAGCAAAATAATAAATTTATTTTTGGACTTTGTTTTCATAGCCTATTAGACATTCGATCAAAGAAATTAATTTTGGACATTGCTGAAGATTTGTTGCCATCATCTAATAAAATACATACTTGTAAAAGCAGTGAGATAAATGAAGAAAATGTGTCTTGCACTCAACAAAGCCATTTCACTTCAAGTCCACTCAGAACAACTAACAAAAATAGATTGCCACTTGCAAATCAGAGCTCACCATTTAAATCTGCTGTGTCCACTGTGTCTTTTTACAATAAGCCTAAGTGGTACCTCAATCCGCTGGAGAGAAAGTTGGTAAGACAGAGTAGACCCATTTCTCTACAAACTAGTAACGAAGGTAAATCTGTTCCCATCGTCGCACCAAAAATGCAAGGAAAACCAGTCTGCTCCAAGAAAAGGAACAAAAAGCTACAGAAAAGTTTAACTACTAAGTATCAACCAAATCATAAATGCATCAAGTCTGTACTGAAAAACTCTAAAAATTCCAAAAAAAATGAAATGACCTACAAGCCAGCTATGGAGAAAGAGAATACTTGTTACTCAACTGAAAGTAATCTGAATACTCCTCGAGTTTTAAGTCAAAAAATAAAACCACAAACTACACTCCAAAGTGGAGCAGCATTTTTTATTAGTCGAAAAAAACTCAAAAGATTGTCTCTGGAAGATAAGCCATCAGTGGGTCTCAACCAAAAGGATAAATCAAAAGTGATTGAAGATTGTGACACAAAGGCTTTAGGTGAAAGAAGAACTTTGGTGAAAGAACAAGTGCCCAAGTGCTTGTTACTAGAAAAGAAATTGAATATTGAGCTGAGTGCAAAAAGTAAAAATGAAGAAAAATTAATAAAGGTAAAGAAAACCAAATATATCACTGTAAAGACAGCTGGCTATTTAGCAGAACTTCAATACAGATAATATATGTAATATAGATGGATAGAATTTGATATGTTGTTTGGTTTTTTGGTGGTGCTGGGGATCAATCCCAGGAC